GGCGTCTCGGAACTGGAGATAAGGGAGGCAGTGTTGCACTCAACAGTGTACTGTGGCACACCTGCTGGTGTCGAAGCGATGATGGTAACGGAAAGAACGATCAATGAAATGATTGAGAAGGGCGAATATAAACGACCTGAGGAATCTGGGCTTTGAGTTATGTGACTAGGAATTGAGGAGTCCGTCGTCCTTGTGCCTTGCGGATTCTTATCTTGTATGATTGTCATGGAATAGACAGCTTTATATTTTGTGCATATATTGGAAACTTCTTGTAACATTTTCTACCAGACCCATATCTCCTTGGATGATTATATGCGTATTCAATCGAATAACACTCAGAGCATAGGCAGACCTCCACCATCTATCATGATTATAGTTCTATTCGTGAACATCACCATGAAGGCGAAGTTGAAGTGCATCCACCCGAGGGCTAATTGCAACGGAAAAATACAAGGAAACAGAGGGTAGAGCAAAGAGAATGAGACAGCTCAAGCCAGAGATTTGATGAGCGGGCCTATTAATCGAACAATACTGGTACATAGCTCTAGAATGTTAAAGTCTTAGAAAGTATAGCGATTGCGATCTCACTCAAGCACACAAAGGTCTTCCAATAAAAAGTGTATTCAAATTCCTATCTACCATACGCCGGGAATTCAATCATGAATTGCAAAAACTCATTAACATTGTTGACTCAGACTGCAACTTCCAGAACAGTAACCTCCGAAACCTCAACATTTGGCCACGCCTTGACCTCCGTCTGTCGCTCCGCAATTGTATTTTCACTCACTGCCGCAGAAAGTGCAGCTCGAGCCACCGCATCCGTGTCTGACAAGGTAACTGAGTTCACACCTGGTCTTGCTCCAGCGGCAGTGACCCAGTGGACACCTTCAGTGGGGACACCAACCGCAAACCGCCTTTCATGTGCAAGGCCTTGTGAGTCGATAACCCGGTACGGGCTGAGGGTGATATCGAGACCTCCAGTCTCGTAGCCGTCGACAGTATGAGGGCGGCATTGGCCCGTCCTCAACAGGTGGGAGAGAAGCTCGTCGGCGGTATCTCTAAGGCTAGGTTCCGGTAGACGCGCCTCAACTAGGGTGGTGACACGGACCTTCAATCCGGGCACTTCGGGAGAGTACACCGTCCAGGCTCCGTCCTCGGCACGGGCTTGTGGTCGTGGGCCGAGAACATCGAGAATGTCGGCCTCGATCAGGGCAATCATTTGCTCAATACGCTGACGTGGGGGTCCGATGGACAGGAAGGCGTTCAGTGGTGTGTACCAACGGTCCAAGTGGTCCCGGTGGGAGAGACCCGAAAGGCCGGCATGGTCCACAATAAGTCGCAACTCATTGCGCAGATCACGCATCACATCGAGGGCTGCCTTCAGAGGCCCGTTGACATTTCCTAGAGAGGCCTCTTTGGCATCCTCCCGTAGATACTCCAACATCCAGTCCCGCCAGGCACCGGCTGTAAAGGTGCGTTCGCCGTATGGTCGGGAAATACGGTCCCAAGACCATCGGTTCTCTTCAGTGAGGCCGAAGTCGGTGAGCACCTGAGCCTCTTCGGGGCTCTTGTGCGCCGTGGCAAGGAAACGATCCCTGAAGTCGGCGAGCTCGAATTTGTGCTGTCTCAACAAAGCCTCATAGTAGACCGTTTCCACCTCCTTTGAGACAAGCGGCCAAATCTCCTTCAGAAAGTTTGGTGCGTTGCCCGAGTCGGAGCGCTGGCGGAAGCCATCAATCACCTCCTCCGTAAAGATAAGTGGCATGTGGCGGCCGTATGCACCCTTGGCGTTGTCACCGCGCGCTTGGTACGGGATCCCGCGACGTGAGCCAGCGTACATGCGGGGCTCCCTTCCTGAGGGGTGGTAGCGTAATCCACTGGGTGTACGAGTGAAGCGACCACCACGACCTGTAGTCAACAGGGCCATGTAATCGAAGAAGTTGAGGCCAAGACCGCGCAGAAAGACAGGCTCGCCAGGCTTGACGGAGGATAGATCAACATCTGCCGGGTTGGATGGAGTGATATGACGCAGCCCATTCTGGTTAGCATATGCAGTAAGCTGCCGTAGCTGTGCATCCGTGACTAGCGGTAGATGGCCCTGCGCGAGAACCACTGCAGACAGTCCGGATAAAGTGCGGCCGGTAGAGAGGTTGAGGGTCTGGCGGCCATCCGGTGCGTCGTCAAGGCTAACAGCGCGGGCAGCGTGGACCTCGACCTCAACCGCAGCTGGGGCCTTACGAACCACCTCGCGGAAGACCCATTCCAGATAATGGCCATACTGTGCGCGGGTTGGGTACTCGTCGGGACCCAGGTCGAGATTAGCATCGGTTGCCCATTCATACAGACTTGGTCCCTCGCGAATCGGTCCAGAGCAAACCACACTCCTGTCAGTGTACAAGGTCACTTGGGAAGTGACCGTGTTCATCAGTAGTTCTGATGACTGGGCGGTGCGCCAGACACGGCCAGCCCCCGGTGGCGATGGGTCGACGACATGAACGGTTAGTCGCGCACCAGGCGCGAGAAATTCTGTTGCAGAAGCGCAGAGACGTTCCAGCGCGCTAGTTCCACGCGGCCCCATGCCAACAATGGCGATGTGGGCATGAGCGGTCCCAGAGGGCGTGGCTGGAATAGTGTATCTCATGGTGAAAGACTTTTTGACTTTGGATATGAACTTTTGAGTTGACTTTTATGAAAGACGGCCGCTTGAGAAGGGAATTGTGCTGACGAAGAAGGCTGTGCAGGGTATCTATGTTCTTGACTTGCTTTTGTAGATTGAGGATTTTAGAAGTTTTTCGAATATTCAATCCTCGATGGCTACTGTTTATATAAACAATCCCGCGCTGTAGGAATTGCCATGTAACCCAAGTTGCTATTGAGTCTGGACCACAGCGATGCCATACTCCCTGTCGCAGCTCAGCTATAATGGGTTGTGCATTCTTCACGATCTCACCCTCATGCACGATTCCAATTGTGTGATTTGACATTATGATGCTGAAAGCATCACCCAAGGATCAGCTTGAAGCATTCCAAAAATGAGGAATTGTGACAATGCAGCGGTCATAATCGACATGCACTGTCAAAGATTGCATACCAACCCGATCTACTAGTGGGTACAGGCGACAAAAAACCACAGATCTCTAAAGGGGAATGCTGCATTAGAGTCTCCAGTTGAGTACACCACAGCGGGTATAACTGCGGGTAGAAGCGGCCAAGCAATGACATTGCATAGAGACTATGACAATGCATAGTGTGACAACACATGAAACAAATGCCAGTGCAGATCTTTTGCAGTTAGCGATCTTCAGCGCTTTTCAACAGAATGGATAGGAGCCTTCGAGGTCCAGAATGGCTGCAGATATCCTTGGCAGACACGAGCCAAGTCGTCCTTGAAAAACCGTTATGCATAACATTAGTTCGCTAATTACGCCAACGACCCACTCTTGCAGCTGGGAGAATTTTTCGTATGACGCTGAATAGGACCTAATCTGTTCTAGTCTCTCGTAACAACTCCCTACTCCGGATGCAGCTTGCGCATCTGCAGTCCAGCCCTAGCAAGGCCTTTTGCCACTAGTAACTTATACCGTCTTGACTCGATAGCCTACTTTCTGCACTAATTTCCTGTCTGTCCCTCTTGCTTTTGTGCCACTCTCCCTCTGCCTTTGCCTTGCTTTTCTTTTCTTTTTTTGGCTTAACTATTTCCAAGTTCCTGGTCATATGGCGAAGCTAGTTGGCCACCCTGCATTGACTACTTAGTGGATGCATTAAAACAAGATCCTAACGACGATGATATCAAACCTATTTCCATTGTTGGCTGGTGCCTGCCCCAAATGGCAGCGAGTCGCGGCCACACACTGCGTCTGTCATTGCGCCAGAATGGGAAATACAGTGATAATTCATGATCAATCCCTGCCAAGCTCCGTTTGTCCGAGCTCTAAGTCACATTGGGGAAATAATAGATTTCAAGAGAGTTATGGCATTGTATGGATGGCTAGAATCCGTCTCTGCTTTTCTCTTTTGGTTGCTAGACGGTACGGATTGTAGGGTTCCAATTCCCTAGAATATAAGTAAGCCCAGATAATGCCAAAGATTTCCTGCCCACGTAGGAACTGCGGCAGAACAACTATCTTTACAAATAAAGTTTAATAGTTAAAGGGATTAAGCCATTCAGCCGTTGGGTGTACATTACAGTTTACTTGATACTTCAATGAGTGACTATTCTTCGGGTACCTCTAATAATTCTCCCTTATATCAGCGTAAGACTCGACTTCTGCGCGACGGGCACCAAAGCCTCTTGTAATTGTTACCTTTCTGAGCTTAAATATCCACCAATAGGTCTTATGCCATCGGTATGAATCGCAAAGGCCCGTACATTAAAGAGGCCATGAAAGAATCGTCTGAAGCGGATCCATCTATCCGGCATATTCCGATTTTCTGTCATCCTCTCCCAAGGCACGATAGCGACTATTGCAGTGACCAGCGAAGCGAGGGGCATAATAACATAGCCACCGTGGCTTTCTGAACAGGAATGATTATAATGATCGAACTGCCATTATCACCGCCACCAGCTCCTACAGTGAATTCTACGCCTGAATCCAAGTTGCTGTACAGAGACATCCAACTTCATCTGCTTGGACTACGGACTTTTTCAGTAAGATCATCGGCTATTGCGGAGATGTAGCAAGGAAATCGTGCCGAGGACGTTTTCCATATGAATTATGATCGACCAGGGCGACCGAAGGCGACCGCGACTCCCAATGTCCGCAATACCCGATACCTCCGCGGCGTCAGCTTTGCGCCTGGAACTCGACGGCAGGTCTTCATAGGGGCCAGGCAGTTGTGCAAAATACTATAGTATGATATCGTTTGCCCTATGGCTCTTATTCATGCTACACTCACCGCCGCCTTGGTCTCTGTTTGGCTTTTACGTCACTTCTATGTTCTTTAGTCGACACACGAGTCAGTATTTGACTGCGTAAATACTGCCAACACCACCACACAACATGAGTCTACCACTATGGAGCGAGGGCAGTGAGAGGGGCTCTCAGACAGATAACACTGTTGAAATAAGCGACATTGAGGCGCAGGTATACTGCACATCAAATCCAACTGTCAGGAACCCGGGCTGAGAGTCCCAGACTAACTGACGACCCGACCTAGAGTAATATCTCCGAAAAGAGATCAGACCCAAGTGTACCTTTGTCAATGGGAGAAGGAAAAGCGATCCCTCCACTATTGCCAGACGAAGATGATTATATCGTCACATTCGACGGCCCGGACGATCCGGAACATCCTTTCAACTGGAGTTTCACTGTGAAGTACGTTGCTCTCCCAGATCATTTGATATGTGGCCTAACCCTAGCTTTCATTAATATAGACTATACACCTCAATTATGGTGTGTTTTGGCACCTTCATTTCATCTTTTGCGAGCGCGGTGTTTGCCCCAGGAACTGCGGGCGTAGCCAAGGCGTTTGGAGTAAGTACCGAAGTCGGAATTCTTGGGACAACTCTCTTTGTTCTCGGGTTTGCATCTGGCCCAATGTTCTGGGCGCCGTCTTCCGAGTTGATCGGAAGGCGATTACCCCTGACTGTGGGCATGTTCGGTGTGGCGGTGTTCAGCATTGCCTCTGCTGTCGCGAAAGATATTCAGACTGTTATCATCTGCCGCTTTTTTGCTGGGCTATTCGGCGCCAGTCAGCTCTCAGTGGTTCCAGCCGTACTATCAGACCTTTTTAATAACATTCAGCGTGGACCTGCTATCACCGTTTACTCACTTGCAGTGTTTGTTGGCCCCTTTAGTGGCCCTTTTATTGGCGGGTTCATCTCGTCCAGCTTCCTCGGCTGGCGATGGACACTCTATATCCCCGCGTTCATGGGCTTCGCATGTTGCAGTGTATTTGTACTGTTTCTAAAAGAAACCTATGCTCCATGCCTGCTCATTTCAAAGGCAGAAGTACTCCGGCAACAGACCTCCAACTGGGGAATTCATGCTAAACAAGAGGTGGTAAAGGTTGACTTCCAGGAGTTGGTTGAAAAGTATTTTACGCGGCCATTGCGAATGTTGATCACCGAGCCCATTATCCTGGTTGTCTCCCTCTACATGTCCTTCATCTACGGACTCGTGTACGCCCTGCTGGTAGCCTATCCCTACGTATTCGAGTCAGTCTATGGGATGAATCCTGGGCTCAGCGGCCTCACCTTTTTTGGTCTCATTATTGGCCAAGTGCTAGCATGCGGCTTTGTTCTCTCTCAGCAATCCATCTATGTGAAGAAATTAATTGCGAACAAAAACGTCCCCGTCCCCGAATGGCGGTTACCGCCCGCTATTATTGGTGCCCCGATTTTCACCGTGGGAGTATTCTGGTGAGTTAACCCGCAAGGAGAGTTGGAGACGACACCCATCTAACAACAGCATTAGGTTCAGCTGGACGGGCTTTACGTCGACAATCCATTGGCTTGCTCCAACTGCCTCGGGAGTTCTCATCGGGTTTGGTATCCTGTGCATCTTCCTTCCCTGTTTCAACTACCTGGTCGATTCCTACCTTCCACTGTAAGTACCAAGCAAGTATGCTGTGAGATCTGGACGTACTGACTAAGTCAATAGTGCTGCGTCTACCGTTGCTGCGAATATTATTCTCCGATCTAGCGTCGCCGCCGGCTTTCCCCTGTTTGCCAAGCAGATGTTCAAGAATCTCGGGGTGCAGTGGGCGGGCACCCTGATCGGATGTTTGGCGGCGATCATGATTCCGATCCCGGTGGTATTGAAGAAATATGGGCCGCGGCTACGGGGGAAGTCGAAACTCATGCCATAAGGGTGTATGTACATGTATTTCTTGCATGGGATAGAGATTCGAGGCCAGTTCATAGACATCACATGCCATAGCTATGCCTGAAGTGCTTAGTCAGGTGATAGGGCTAGTTAACTAACTATAAGAGGCTCACATAAGAAGCATAAGAATAGCCGCTCCCGCCCCCGGTTCTGCCGCTTTCCGTCCCCCCCGCCATCGCTTTTTAACCCTGTCTATCTGCCTTGTATCGCTCTCCGACTCCTTCACAATGCAGACGGCTATGTCTGGCAACTCTGCCCCCTCAAAGCGCAAGCGATCGCGCTTTGCCTGCGAGCCTTGTCGCGAACGGAAAAGAAAATGCAATGGAGAGTCCCCCTGTTCGACCTGCAGCAGCTGGGGGTATGACTGTTACTACCAAAATGAGCGTCGCATGAAACCAAAAGCCACCAGCATGATGGGAGATCTCCCTGCCATCCATGGGCCGAGTCCTGAGCATGCGGGCTCCTACACCGAGTCATTGGAGGCGAACTCAGGAGCGGCATTTGTGAGAAAGATCGGCCTCAAGATGGACCCGGCGAACGCGCCCAAACTGAATCTCTTCGGCTGGAACGTGGGTAGACGCAATCCCCCGTCCGGTCTAGCCACTAGCACGGTTCTAGCTGTGCCCATTGTCGATATTCTCTCGCTGAACCATATGAAGACCCTGGCCAATTTCTACTTTGCCAAGGTAGATCCGTGCTATGCTTCATCGATTCTGCCATGTTCTTTCGCCGCTTGGAGGCCCGTTGCAGTCGTCCGCAGAGGGCGATTCGTTTGACGGCGTGCTAGCGGGGGTTGCCGCTCTTGGAGCGCTCTTCTCCGAGATTACTATCAATATTACGGAAGCCCATCTGGTGGAACTGACGCGCTCGATAACGGACACACACATTGGGTCTGCAGCCCCATCAATAGAAGTAGTGACTGCGTGGGCCCTCCGCGTGATTTATATGCGCATGACGGCCCCGCCATACCCTACCTGGATTGCAAGCTCCACCTTGATGCATCTTATCGAAGCCTCTAAACTTCACCAAAGCTCCTCCTCGTGCGAGTCCCTTGACCTCGACACCCGGCAACGGCTGATCGGAGTCGCCCAACATTTAAACCTCTGGATCTCGTACGACCTGGGCCTCTCGCGGGTTTCCTTCCCCCACGAGCCGGTAGCGCTGCCCTCGCCACGAGCAGGCGATTTCACGGTAGAATTGCTCGGTCTCTTGCCGCTTTCCACCAGCCTGGGCCCGGAGAATCGCCGACAGGATGAAGAGATTGAGGAGTTCTTGCTACAGACATTGAGCCGTAATCACACGCAGCCACCATCTATTCTCGCTCAATGTAACCTGGTCCTCTGTCTTCTTCGGCGCTTACATATGAGAAACCTCATGACCTCCCCAGCTACAATGGAGCGGGTTGTGGAACAACTGAAGCGAAGCCTCGGAGCTGCCCGTCGTATGGCTTCGGATTGTTCTCCGTGGCAACATGTGGCCAATGTGCCCTTTCAGATGATTAGTATCCTCTTGGAGATGGACACGAGTGCATCATTAGAGCTTCTGCCGGAAGCCATGCAGACCCTGAAACTGGTTTCTGCCACTTACGATACCGAAACGATGAGGGAGGCGTACGGGACTGCGCGTCTACTGATTCTTCTTTACCAGCGCCGTCGGCGTTCGGACACCAGATTGCTCAGCGGGCTATTGGAAGATCACCACGAGCCATCCGCCACCGAGTCACCAATTCAGCCCATGATCCCGACATCTGACGAAGTATCCTGGCTGGAAGGATTGGTCGCCGACGTACCGAGCTTGCACGGCCTTGACTTTAGTCAGTTTTTACAGCTCTCGCCGAACACCCCGGGAATGTGGGGTCGATAGAACTACGATAGTATATATCCCCTTTCCATGCACGATTGTTTGCGAACCGTACAGCTGGTGCCACCGATCGCGGGCTATCCTTGTTCTAATGCAAATGAGCCACAGACCTGGTGCATTACACAAAGCCAGATTGGTTAATTACCTGGCTCCTGAACTTGAAAGGCGCTCAATGAAAGGACACGCGACGCGACTGTTCTCAGGAGCTATGGTAACACCCAATCGAAGAAGCAAGAAATTCCAAGCACGGAGCTATTGCCGACCTTCATCGTCCCAGCGCCTTGGGTATCCACGCCGCTCTCCACTCTGCCCTCATCGTCCAGGTATAGCACCAGCTGTTGCATCAGACGTCAACACATATAATGGTGATCATGATGAGTCATTGCGTGTTTCATCTCATTTGTGTCATGTTAATACCAGTAAAGCACCACCAACAGATCGGTACATTCACTCCTACTGGAAACCTACACTATGCAGTATACCCTGAATATCTCTAGTCCCATGTCATAGGAATAGCGTGCTGCTTGAAACTAAATAGAACATGTATTGTATTCAAAGAAAATCCATGTAGCAGTAACCACCCTGAGTATATAATGTCAAATAATGAAGTAAAAGGAATCATAATGATACCAGATCCTAGATGCACCCACTATTCAGCTAGTACCTGCAGACCACCGGACCCACTCTTATCTTGTGTACATGACCAGATGTTATGGATTCAACATACCTCATGAAGAATGAAATTAGAAACATCAGACTCCACAGAAAGTCCGACCGCGCGTGGATCAGAGAACAGACTGGGCGACACGATGCAGGATCGGAGGGCCACCATTATCACTGGTCATGGTCAACCTTCTCAACGCCATGCTCTTACAACAAACAAGTTGCGAACTGATAGTCGAACCTCACAGGTCTCAAAATATCACCTCCACGGGGTTGAAGGCCCAGTTAATCTCCTGCACCGGAGCGAGTACACTCATGGGGGCACAGGTGTTCCACTTAGATTCATATTGATGAGAGCAAAGCGTTCGCGGGTTTGTTCTATCCTTCCTTTCAAGGTCCTATAGACCTATGCAAAGATATGCAGTACATTCCTTAGGGCTAATATCCAGGGTTGCCAAAAAGGGGCTGAAGAAAAGTGGATAGCCTTATGTCCGATCCTTAATTCCGTGTATGAATTTACGATAAACTGGCCGATCCCGGCCTTCTCTCCGAGACAACTCGGCATTATTTTGTTATACTTGTAGATCTCTGTACATATATCTATGCTATACATTGACATCAGATATCGTTGTTCTCCCCTTTGGGGCCCACCTTATGTTCGGTAAGCATTCGTTGAACACACACCACCAGGTATACCATCACCTCCTGCTGGATGCCTTCGATTCGCATGGCGTTTCGTCAGGTCATAGTTCAGTGCAGTCTCAATGTTTACTACGTTACTACACTTCATACAGGACTGTTGCCGAACTTGATGAACATGGTTAGTTCAAGGAGGGCTGGGACCGTTGGGCATCGTACTGCCTTTGAGATCCCTTCCCATAAGATCACCCTTCTTACTGTAAGGGTAGGGTATATCGAAAGCGAAAGGTCTGTGTATAACCCTCGCGATACGTAATTTGATACTGAAAATGGGAAACTGGAACCCGATGCCAAGGATAAGGCTAACCCAGAGGTCGGCTTGCTGGTTGCCATGTGCCCGGGCTACAGCTTAGGGCGTTTCTTTCCGTGCAGTTCTCGATAATCAGCAGGAGATCATTGGATCCAGCGTCGAAGCAGTCCTCTGAGATCACGGTGTGCTATAACCGACATGCCAATATGTCCCAGGCTTCATTTGCCTTACTCCACTATGAGTCGGAAACGAAACGGAGTTAATATTCTTAAAGCCGAACTCGTTCGCGATAATTTTTCAGAAAGGAGGTTGATAACTATATTATTCCCCGGTTATACTTCAAGTCTTCTTCTTTTCATCTCACTTTTGAGAATCTCCCATATCACAATATCTCTATTTATCTTCAGGTCTCCAGCCTCACCATGGATACCACCTTGACGCTGTACGATGCCCCGGCTCCAAACCCCTACGTCGTCCGGCTATTTATCCTGGAGCGTGGCGGACTCGACATCGACGTCAACTCAATTGATATAATGAAACTCGAGAACCGAAGACTAGAATATCGCACCAAGGTTAACCCCCGCGGCGAACTACCCGCGCTGCGCATCGGCAACGACTTTACTCTCACCGAAATCACCGCAATCTGCGAGTACCTTGACGAAGTTGCCACAGGAGGCAAGTCACTTTTCGGAGAGACCGCCCTCGAGCGCGCTGAGACGCGAATGTGGCTTCGACGAATGGATCTGGAGATCGCCCAGCCGTTGATCGCGTGGTTCCGCAACGACCCTGCCACCATTGACTTCTACAAGGGCAATCGTATCCCCTGTCCCAAGGCTCGCGTTACCCAGAAAGTGATGATCAATCAATTCTTGAACCTGCTTGATGATGAGCTCGAGGGGAAGACTTATCTGTGCGGGGATCGGTTCTCGGCCGCTGATATCCATTTCTATGGGTTGATGAAACAGATGGTCGAGCAGGTTGCGCCCTGGGTACTTTCTCCTGGACGTTTGAATGTGGAGGCCTACTGGAAGAGAATGGGGGAGCGGGAGAAGAGTAAGGCTGCCGTGGCTCCGTTTGATAGTCGGGTTACTTTGGCTTAATGGGTGCATCTCACTTTATATATATTCCGACGGAGGTATATCCATCACTTTTGTGATGCACACAGTATGTCCGTGGATTCTTCAACTTATACAAAAGTGGCTCAAGGTTCTTTCGACTTTTGAAAATGAAAATAAATTATCAACCAGGACACATAGTATCGGCTGACAGCTATGCAAACTAAGCGCTATATCCCGAATGGCCTTTCCCGACAACCCATCATTACAAAACCGTCTAACTCAACCCAGTCATAGATCTCATCAATCTAATAAAAGCTCCAAGGGATATACAGCAGATATAATGAACATGGCTGACTGATTGGTATAAAATATCTCCCAAACAGCCATAATGAAGTACTCGACACAGACAAATCGTGCTGACCATTTGAGCTATTCAAACAGGGTGCATACGGACCTTGACACCCTGACCATGCGACATGGTAAGGTTATTCTCTATGACAGGCTGGACCAAGAGCGGATCAGCATTTTCCACTGCATCAAAGTGTTGTATCAGCCGGACCAATGTATAGCTTGCTTCGGTTAGGGCATATTGTTCTGGTGACGTGTTAATCTTACGGTCTAGCCCTTGGAAGAATGCGTTCAACTTACGACCCAAGCAGACCCGCGGACCGCCATTGAACGGAAGATACTCCCAGCCATGGCGGCCGTCCTCCTCCCATCGTTCGGGCCGGAAGGTCTCAGCATCGTCTCCGTAGTAGTCGGTTCGCCGATGCATGGAAAGACACTGTAGATCACCAATTCGCCCTTCGCGACAAACACAGGTGATCGTCCGTCGGGTCCGCCCCCAACAGGAAGAGTGGTGTTTTCCACAGCGACGCGGGAATTTAATGGTACTGGTGGCAGCAGACGAAGAACTGTTCTCCTTAGCCTGTTTGTGATATCCGGCATGGACAATAGCGGAATTTACCTTCATTCAGGACATGCCGTAGATAAGGGGTATCCTTCAGCTTCAGATGCGTAATCTCATCGCGAGGGTTCTGGCTGTCTCCAAAAGTCTCAATAACCGCACCGCGAAGTTTATTCCAGACGCGGGGATGCCGCGATAGAAAGAAGAAAGCCGAGCTCAGCAGGCTAGCTGTAGTATCTCGACCCGCGAGGAGAATATTAAGCATGTTGTCCCGAAGAACCTTCGGGTTGTCCGTCTGCTCCGCGAGCGCCTCGGCGAAAATAAACCGTTTATTGTCCTTTTTTTCCGAGTGTCTCTTGTTATCAAGCGCCAGTCGCACGTAATGATCAACAACCTCATGCACGCGCTTATTAGCCTCGCGGAACTCTCTCGGGTTAATCATCCAGTAGAGATCAACTGCTCTGGCCCGCGCACTGAGCCACTTCTGCGATGTATTGAACGCCTCTGCAAAGCCTTCGCTGTCCTTCACAGAAGAGTTGACAAGACAGTCCGAGCCCTGGGAGTTCATAGAGCCGACCGACTCTCCAAAGAGAAAGTGCGTGGCTGAGTCAATGGTCAGGAGGTAGAAAAGAGGCTGGATATCAAAGTCCGAGCCATCCTTGGGAATCAATCCAATCAGCCGCGTGACATGATCACGGAGAAGATTCAAATCAGCTACCTAAGACAAAGTTAGTAGGCTATCATAGTTTATCTCGCCAACAAGGTGATTCGCACCTGCTCACGAACAAATTGCGGTCGGAGAAGGCCTCGCGCATGAGACCAGCCAGCACCATCAAGGGTGAAAATCCCATCCCCAAGAAGGGGAGAGAACTGTTCATGTCTGGTTCCTAGAGCAAAGTCATTGAATTGGGCAGCCAGGAGCGCCTTGAGATTCTCAGGGTCAATAGTTGTCGTCACTCGTTGTCCTAGAATCATCTGTTGGAACGTGCTTCCATTGATGCGCCACTGGTCCGCCAAGTACTCGACCCAACGCTTGTTGTCGGCGGCTTTCTTTATTTGAATATAATTTGCAATACCGAAGAATCCTGAATTGGCCTGTGGTGGGAGCTGGCAGTTGTGAGCCTTGGCATATCTGCGCTGGTCTCAACATTTTCGAATGGTCAGAAGAATGAAGTACCCGATGTACAGCGCGGCTAATGCGGGCGCCACGACCGCCAGCATGATGTCGACGAGGATATCTTGGATTTAGGAAACGTTCTATATAGGACGTCTCCTGTGGTTGAAGGGGGGGTATACGCGAAGGTTTCCGTGGAATGTCGGAAGTCTCCCCACGAGCTATGACTTATGTAATAGCATAGAACAGTCGGAAACCAGCAGTCTGGTGCAGCGTGGCTTCAAGTATGTGGTTCTGAGACAGCTCACATTACGAGAGGCTAGCAAGGGATCCACAGGGGGTACCCTTTGAAGGAGGGAGATCGACCATTAGTGGCTTGCGTAATATAATGCCAAGCAACCAATTGCATCGGAACAAGGCTGGCTTTGCATGACCAGCTGTTGAAGTATAGAACCCCATGAAAACGAGATCTTGAATGCCTCACTAGGTCGCACTGAGGCCCTATTTATACTCCCTAGGAAATCAAGGAATCGAGAGCAAAGAAACCAGGCGCTGGGCCTCGAATCCAGCTTCAACCGCCTTAAATATGTGAGTTAGATATACCCGGCGTGCGGATCTGACAACTGGTTTTAAAGATCGCGAACAACCTACAAAGTATTTTCGAAGCCAAACTCTATCGTTAAATATTAAGTATACAGTAAGTCGGCTATCATAGCAACATATCGGTGTACATTGACTGAAAATAGAAATTTACAACTTGTTCATGGAATCTCGAGAGAATCAAGCATCGCTTCCCGATCACTCATCATCTTGCTTGTTCTCGGTCCCAGTACACCGTCTTGGCTCTCACACCCACTATCTCCCCCCAACCCTTACCTATGAGCCCTTCTGGCTTTTCAGCAGGTCCGTGAGCAGCCGTTGCGAATAAGGCGTAATGGTACCACGACCGAATGGCGGGCTCAGAATTCTAGAAGACAAAAGGTAAGGGTACACGCACAAGGGCTAGGACGCAACAAGAGACGAAGCCCAGTGACTGATGAGTGTTAGATGGCAAAGCCTTGGTGAAAGTTCAGGCGGTACAGAGTAGTTTAGGTCAGTTCGGTGGCTTCGACCACCTTGACGATCCCACACTCCCTGCGGAATAAAAGTGGTGATGTTGCTTGCTAATATGTCGGAAACCAGGGTTGAAAGAACGAAAGCGATGAGAGAGCAAAGTCTACAAAGATGTACAAGGATCGGCAAAAGACAGGTCATGTTGACCTTTATAATATTTCGATTTTAGGATAGACGACCAGGGATCTGTCGGCCTCTGCTATAGTAGACGAACCTTTTGGAATTGCAGGCAAAACGACAGGAATTCCCTCTCGCTCATGTACTATTGGTGAACGCTGAGACATATCATTAATATGGAGTACTCTTGCCAGAATATCCATATGGGGCACACCGTATGGAGTATAAGCATAGTTCCAACAACCCATTGCTAAGTTACTGTATAGCAATGGCTGACCGTTTGAAACCGTTTCACGGACCAGGTAGATCTAATAGTCCCTCATTCTACTCCTGCGTATAAGATTTAACTGCACCAACCTAGATAAACAGTCTTTAACTCAACAGTACCCTTCATACGAACTTCGGATTGTGGGCGAATGCACTGCTGAAGCCTCTGAGGGGAAATATTCAGACACTACCAATGTATTGTATAGCTCTGAGAAATTGGGCTGTGTGAGTTCTCATTGCAATGAGATTATCACAGTTTCTCGTCAAAGCTTGAGGAAACCCTGACAAAAGCTTACAGGGAGTACTTGGAATATCGGTGGACCACCGGCCGTGGACAAGGTCAACTGCAGTGCACTATCGTGGCTTCAAACGACAAAAGGATGCCTGTAACGATGCCTAACAATAAAAACCGATCTAATCTAATCTATAGACTGCCCCGCCGTACTGAGCATTACTAATCATGTCACCAAAAACCAGAATGAATGTGTCCATCGCTGCATGTATGTTCAGTCACCCTGATCTCTGTATCTTGATATTTGCCAAACCTCATCATGCGGTCTGCCTTACCTTCTGAGCACCGTGTCCTTTTCCTGGAACACCGCGAGTCCGGTTTTCAGGTCATAACCCGCGCCACACCTCAACCGAGCCATGGCAGCGCTGTGATCCGCATCGCCGCAGCTGCCATTCTACCCTACCATCGAGATGTTTACAGCGGTAAGCGCCCGCTACCGTTTCCCACACCGCTAGTGGGTGGATTCAGTGCAATCGGTCACGTCGCAGCTGTCGGACCGGACGCGACGGCCTTGAAATCGGGGCAACTGGTTTACATTGATTGCGTTATACGCGCACGTGATGACCCAGATTGTTCTTTTCTGTCGGCCTATTTTCACGGATTCAGTGATGGTAGCATAAAATTGATGCGTGATATGTGGCGCGATGGGACGTACGCGGAGTACGCCAAGGTGCCGCTGGAGAATTGTATCCCACTCAATGAGTCACGCCTGTGTGATGGGTTGGGATATTCGCTCCAGGACATGATGTATATGGCGTATCTACTTGTGCCGTATGGTGGGCTAAGGGACATTAAGCTCGAGCCTGGCGAGACCATCATCATCTGCCCAGCGACGGGGTTTTATAGTGGCTTCGCTGTGCAAGTTGCCATTACGATGGGTGCAAGGGTCATTGCCATGGGTCGAAATGAGGAGAAGCTAGCGAACCTGAAGGAGCAGGTGCAGCAAAGATCACCAGGGGCGGATATTGAAACATCCAAGATAACAGGCGATGAACAGAAAGATGCATCTGCGTTGCAGGCTTTTGGTCCTGTTGATGCTGTTTTCGACATCACGCCATCAGCTGCATCGATGTCGACCCACACACGAAGCGCTATAAAGGCACTGCGTCGTGGTGGTAGAGTTAGTCTAATGGGGTCTACCAGGAATATTTCGGTCCAGGAGATTATGATGAATGACATTACACTAAAAGGTAAGAGCCCTACGCCTTTCCAGTGTACTGATTTCTGACACTATTTATGCCCAAAGGCAAATCGATGTATGAACGAGAGACTATATTGCAGTTCGTCAAGATGCTGCAGAGGGGTTTATTCCCAATAGGTAAGGGATCGGTGGAAACGAAGGCCTTTGCGTTGGATAAGTGGAAGGAAGCCCTTGATGTCGGTGCGGACCATAATGGTATCGGCAAATGTGTAGTATTTACCCCAGTCTCTTCATAAAACCATAGAACCTACCCTTCCATTGATGCCTTTTCCATGGCCCTCGAATTCTTTGAGTGTACATGTGATAGAGCCGCAGTCAAGGAACGATTGGACAGGATAGCGAAGATAACAGTGGCATCACATATTTTATGACCAGCCCTGTTCTCCAGAGCATATGGTCGTATGTGGTATCTTACTCTAGGTAGTAAACGTGATAAATATATAGTGCTCTTCGAATTATCTTTATGGGTCAGTAGATCATACACGGACTATCCCAGCATTTGCGTATTCTGGGCCACACCGGTTGTTCATTTCTAACTCGATCTCTTGCCACTACCAAGTGTCTACTTTGGGTGTTCATAATCAAAAACGAGCCTCACACATAAGTATCGTCCCCCGGCATTGACAACAGCTACCCGGCGAGTGAAGTGGCGCTTGTTATCTATGAGTTCGAAACCCCAAATCTTAATCAAATACCAGTCAGCTCAAGTACCAAGATTACAGATCGATCGAGCCATCGTCAGAAAGCCAACCAATGGGCACCAGGGTAACCTACCTGCTCAGTTGTCCAGCCAGAAGAGACGCCACGTTCAAAGGTATGTACCCAAACACCGTTGGACTCTTCACATATGAATCCTGCTTCCTCGCGAGAGTCGAGGAGAGTCTCGCCCCGTAGAAACCTCTTCACTTTTTGTGCGTCATCTACATCACTCTGCAACTCAAACTCTGGCCGGATGTGACCGTCGTTGTCCGGAGACCCCAAAACAAACTGGCTCCGGCCTTGAACCTCACCAAAGATATAGTCCTTATGCTCTTTGGGTTTCCAAGTCAACGTCCGCTTTTCAATTGTACCAGCTAGCTTCCCGGCTGCGCTTTGGTTGAAGTCGATGTTCGTTACCGTCTCCCCAGTCTCAGGCTCAGCTGTCCCGTATGTCGTGATGGTTACATAAAGTGTTGCGACTGCCATAGCCTTGCGAAGTAACCAAGGGATTCCTTGCTAAATGCGACCATAGGGCAATCAGCCTGAACATCCTGGCCATCCCGGTCCTCACTCCTACCAACGAATTGGCTAATGCATGAAAGAGTACATACCAGCTTCAGGATGGGGTCTGTTTCGCCCGTCAAAGCTCTATTCTGCGTATTGCCATGATGTGAGTATGTAAAGGCTTTACCACGAATTAAGATCCACTCAGGGCAGAGCAAATCAGGTGTAGTTCACTAGTACCATAATCCAATTACCATTGAGGTTTCTAATCGTTATATCTCGGGGTGTAGCCATGGCGTGGAATACAACTCGGTAGGTTAATTGCCCATTCACGGCGGTTGTTGAAAGGAAAAGAAGAAAGCGTTTGGCAACAAACAACTAATGCCCTGCGAATCCCGAGTAGCGAGTCGTTACGTAATAAAGAGATAGGAGCGGTTGTACATGATGCAGATAGTCACTGACCATTGTCATTAATTGGCTCAGATATGATACATAAGGCTAATTGTGGTGCTCAGACTCAATGGTTGCCCAAGGGTATCTAGGTGACCTGGAATATTTTCCACGACAGGTTATTAACCCTCATCAACAGGATAAGCGATGTTTCGTCGTATTGATATCGATGTAACGCTTTATGGCTTTCAGATGAAATCTAGTTTCGGCTCTTGGCCGGAAGTCTACGCTATTATAAAAAGAAATAGAGATATAACCAACGGCATTTCTCTACTTCGCACAAACAAACTCTATCTGAACAAGCTATCCTAACTCAATATCAGAGGTCTAGGGAAATACATAGTAAACAAGAACGATGCCCCACACCTTGCCTAAAACGGCTGCAAAGGAATGAAAACACAATGTCGAGGTCGCTGCCTTGTTATTCCAAACATGTGGCTGGGTGTCGGATCTGTTTTGGTACCTCCGCATCAAACCCAAGGGTCTACGTAAATGGCCGGGCTGTATTCACACGGGATCTTTTTTTTTCCCAGCAAATTCTAGCATATTCGTACCTTTAGCTCTGGTCAGAGGTATGTTACATATCACACTGCTGCAAGGGATGTCCAAATATGCAAGGGGTGGGCCATGCATCGACACACTGTATTCGTCTTACAACGCGTCCGAATTCTGCAGGAAAATAAACTAAATTGATATTTTCTTTTGTATGTGCCTCACCTTAGCCAATATAATACGCAAGGGAAGCTATAACTTAGGTCTTATCTTCAAGGCCAAATCAGGAAGTGTACTTTTATAGAACGTATTACAGCATGAATTGCAATTGCTTGAGGGCTTTCAAGCATTCCTCACTGGAGTCATACCTGTCAACCTCGAGTAAACAGGTCGAGAGGGCTGTTGAATGTGAATATTGTACGGTTGCTTCTTCTTCTTCTTCTTCCTGCATGTAACAACCTCTTCATCTTTCGCAATACGGGAGATGCTTAATCCCTTGTTTCTTCGTACGGCAGGGAGGCGTAGCGCACATCTTGCATATACCATACGTTATAGCATATTGAGAAATCGTGATGAATAGACTTTTAATATTTTGTGCCTTGATGGAATTGATCTCTGAGCGATGGGATCCAGATACCAACCCTCCTTCAGAGAGCAGCGTATCCCATAATATGCCCTAAGACAAAGTTCGTTAGTAGCCCCTACCACAAGGTCAACCACTCTTATACCGCGAAAGGCTAGTTATACAATTGCAAGAGGCAAAGATATATAGGTGCTAGTATATATAGATCAATGACATAGGAAGTGGTCGTCCCTTTTCCTTCCTGGTCATTGTCCTCAACTGAGCTTACTCTCTTGTTTACTTCTTGAAATCTAATTTCACTTTGCCAGTAGGATATTTCACCAACATGAAGGCCTCTTTCGTTGTTGTTCTTCTCATGGGATTAGGTTTCGGGATGGCCGCTCCACCTCCGCAGGGTGAGAAAGACGGAAAGGCTGTAAGTCAGCTCAAATTGAGTAGCACTGATTTTCCTTGAATTACTTTAGTACTTAGTGCTAACCGTTTAATAGAAGGTATGTGTCCATCCTTAGTGCAAGAGTACTACTGCCGAACCCAAGTGCTAACATATCTGAAACGAAAGCTTGTAAGTAAGCCTCGTATACAGACTCTGGTCGATTGCAAATGATTAACGCTCAGCACAATCAACAGGCTGTAGGTCTCCATAATGTCTATGGGCTGATTATAATTTCATCATGATCTAAACTTTATCTTAGGGTGTAAGTGGGCCACAATTCCAGTCCAGAAATCTATAGTTGACTGGGCTAACCTTCATTGGTGAACTAGTTTGTGAGTACTATCAAATACTGCGGTAAGGAACATTACAGACTAATACTAGATGATCTCTGGATACCAAAAGGATGTGAGTGATATCTATTTCCATGATGAGAGAGAGTTCATAGCTGACAGCTCTTGCCGCTCATAGTTGGTGAGTGCCCTTTAAGGAATCAAGTGACCGCGATTAGGGCTAACATACTGGGTATTACAGAGTGTAAGTACTTGCCCGCATGCCCTGCAATCTTCAATGCTAACATTACTGTGCAGCTTGTAGGTGCCATAACTATCTTGCAGATGAGTTGATCCCTACCAACAGGGCTAACATGGCTTGTGCCTTGATATAGGATGTGAGTCACATAGTTCTTTCACTTGAGGGCGATTAGATCTCTAATATCAACGCTTAATATAGGTTGTGAGTCAGAACTACTATAAAGATAAGTTACAGCTAAATAAGAAAGCACTACTAACTACTGGAGCGCCCAGCTTGTGAGCATCGTTGCATTTCCTTCATGAAAGCATAAGGCTAACCCTGTGTTAGGGAGTAAGTACGATTGCGACACCACGAGTTTGCGAAAGAGCCAAGGATAAATTGTAGAACTGACGGATGTCACTGGGAAAATAGCTTGTAAGTGATTTGTGATATTGGCTTCGATCTTATGCTGACACAGTCTTCAAACAGAATGTAAGTGGTGACTGTCAACAAGCGATATATTTGTTGTACAGACTAATAGCAATTTTACGTGGAATACCTAGATTGTAAGTGCCATGCAGGTCATACATACCTCAACATCAAGACTGACAGTTTGGATTAGGGGGCAAGTACATGGTTACAACGCACAAATCGATGGGCTTACGGGTTGAGCTAACTAAGCTGGATGTCTAAGGATGTAAGTCCGCCCCTAAAGCGTGGGAATGACTGATACTGACAGCTTTGATATAGCATGTAAGTAGTGACCTAAGACCGATGGACATGACAATACCTCTGTGGATTAGGTAACTCAATTCTTTCCGCTCTGCAGAAAGTAAGTATCGCACTGTCCTTGTAGTCCGAATTTAACTACTTCAAGAGCATGATCTAATAGCCATTGGTGATACAGAAGGTGAGAAAACTTGCGATCTTGCTGGACAAATGAGCTGGACAGGAACAACTGAGAAGTGTCAACTTTTATAGCTGGTAGGTGGTAAACCGATAGGTTAATCCCCCGAAAATCACCTAACACTCATTTGCAAACAGGAAGTACGTATCGCACCACCACCAAAAGAATCCGAATGAACGTCGAGGTTAATGGTCTTTGGACGAAAGGCACAAGGACCAGGTACAGCTCCGGCACGGTAAAACCCGTTTCAACGGTGATGAGATACAAACAGCACGAGCATTCCGACAACTGTAAGTTAAAATTCCTTGCAGACTCCGTTTATACATCCATCGAACAGCTTAGGACAGATTCGAGCTCACGGATTCCAACGAGGGCCTCTGTTGCTTGATATCCACGGACCATTATCGGAAGAGAGCAGTGACAGGGATTGCGGCACGGCGGAATTGGAGGAACCATGTTTCTTTGATGTATGGCTTTCGCTTTGTTTGTTACTCTGGTATAAATTCGACCATTGACCTCTTGTCATTTTAACCCGTTATTGGTAGCATCAGCCATATATTGCTACTTCATAGACTAGAGCCGCGCAGCCTGCCTATGCCTCGTTTTTATTTTCTAGAAGCCAAGCGTGCTGTGCCAAATCTGTTGGAGGTATTAGGGGCCGAAGCATTGATTCACGCCAAGGTTCTGCCGGAGAAAGCGAACAATATGTGTGGGACGAGATCCAGTCATTCCATTCTTTGTTGACAGGTCCGTCTATTGCTTGCTTAGTTCTGTGGCTTGGTGTACATGAGCTGGATAGAGAATCGGCTCATGAAGTATGACTCCCCTGGCTTAACTATTGCAGAAGAGCCATCGGAACTACTAATCTTGTTTCTTTCCTGATGAATCAGACCACGGCTAGGTTGTCCCGAATTTATATTTTGTGCCCGTCAGACATATTGTGCATATTACATCTGTATCAACACGTAAACCGCTTTCTCTTCCCTTTCCACCACTTTCAAGCGCTAGAGGAAGAGTACAGCCTCACCATCACACCCTGATCGTGTGACAGTGTGAGGTTTGCACGTAAGACAGGGTCATCAGTTGAATCAGGGTCCGCATTTTCTAAGACGTCGAAATGCTGCATGAACCTAACTAGTGTGTAGCTCGCCACAGTCAATGCGTATTGCTCTAAATGTTAATCAGATGCCGGTACGTATACAGAAGATAATCGCACTGGGGAACAGTACTTACGACCGAGGCAAATACGCGGTCCACCGTTGAAAGGAAGATACTCCCACTGGTGTTTTGCATTCTCCCATCGCTCCGGTCGGAATGAGTGTGCATCCTGGCCCCAGATATCTGGCCTCCGGTGCATAGAATATACGCTGTAGAAAACCATTGCTCCCTTACCCACGTATACTGGAGATTTTCCATCTGGTCCACCACCTACTGGAAGGCAGGTGTTCTTTGTGGCAATCCGGGAATTAATAGGAACAGGGGGTAGGAGACGGAGGGCTGACTTAGTTAAGTGATGTTCGCCATGCATTTGGGATGAAAGTCTTACCCTCGTTCAGTACATAGCGCAGATATGGGATTGCTTTGAGTGACGTTTGCGTGAGGTCAGCCAGTGGCCTTGAATTAGTCCCAAAACGTGCGATTATTTGATCTCTGAGTTTGTACCAGACCCTAGGATGTCTAGCCAGATAGTAGAATGTGGAGCTCAGTAGGCTAGACGTAGTATCTCTTCCGGCTAGCAGAACATTTAGCAGATTGTCCCGGAGGATCTTTGGGTCTTGTGTGTCAGCCGCCAATGCCTCAAGTAATATATACCGCCCTTTTGATTTCTCTCTCTGACCAGCATTCTTCCTCGTATCTATTGCACGTCGCACATAGTAGTCTACGACTCTATGAACTTTTCTGGTTGCATCTCTGAACGCCTTTGGATTTATCAACCAGTAGAAGCCTAGAGCCTTAGATCGTGCGAAAAGGTAATCCTGGGCGAGATCAAATGCCTCTTCAAATGCCCGGATGCTCGTTGCTGTCGAGGCCTGCAAAAGACGTGGGTCTAGAGAATCAACGGATTCGCCGAAGAGAAAGTGTGTCGCAGAGTTGAGCGCAAAGGAGAAGCAGAGTGGCTGGATGTCGAAGCTGGAGCGGCTCTTTGGTACCGATTCGATGACCCGGGTGACATGGTGGGCAAGGATGTCAATGTCTGCGACCTGGAAATCGAACTTAGCTTGATGCTGGAGCAATGTCTTCCTCTGAAATACCTGTTCTCTTGTGAACTGAGGCCTTAACAAGGCTCTTGCATGCGCCCAGGGCTCACCGTCCAATGTAAAGATTCCGCTTCCGAGAAAGGGAGAAAACTGCTCGTGTCTGCAGCCTAGGCTGAAATCCTCAAATTTTGTTGCCAGGATTGCCTTCACATTTGTAGGTTCTATAGTACACAAGATGGTCTGATTAAACATAGCGAATTGAAATGTATTTCCATAAAGTTCATGCTGCGAGGTAACATACTCCAGCCATCGTTTCTCTTTCACAGCCTTGTTGATGTACCAAAAGTCATACACTCCGAGTGGGTCAGAGTATAGGGTTACTGGAGGAAGACACCCCATGAACCTTGAGCGTGTATACTGTTTGTAAGATCGATAAACATAAACATGGACACAGACTACGAGGCCTATGGCCCCTACTGTGAGAATCGGCAGTAACATGTGCCTAGGACGGAACTATAACCAGAATCATCAATATAAAACACAGCGAGAGGCAGAATACGTGGTTTCAATTCATGAACTGGGTACTTCAAGTGTGATGTGTCTTGAAGCGGAGCTGACATAGGTATATACAGAGTAAGGCCAAATTAATCTTCTCAGAGAAATCCGTAGATGTGGACACTGTATTCAATTAACTCCGAGCTAAAGAGTTGCATCTAATGTTTCCATTCATAAAAGAAACTAAATTTCATGGCCTGGGAAACTCCTCGCAAACTTTGCTGATTTTTATGGTCAAAGCAGGCGTAGATCTATGCCTATATGAGCAGAATGCAACAAGACTTTGCGTATGGAATGTTAGCTGTTCCTTCTTTGCGGCCCCTACCGTAGCAAGGCATCGCGTTTCGCTTCAATTCTCTTTCTCTTGATCAACTTTTACATGTTTATTTCTATTTTCCCTTTTTCTTTAACAAGAAAAAGAAAAACTGGTATTTGGGCCTAGATTGGATGGACAAGCATATTGAACATTAATGGCATTTCATCATTCTGGCGGTTGCTCATACACATCACATTCGTTGTGATCCATTTGGCATCTCCTTGTGATCTCGGTATAAGTAAATCCACTACTCCGTATATGCATATAGATACGTAAACAATATTCCAGTGAATGATTCCTAATACAGAATTTTTGCTGGGGTTCAAGGGGCGCAAAAGATAGTCTGGAGTATACCTCCTTGCTTTGCTGCACCCGGGAAGACAGCATGCCCAATCACTCCCGAATAGGATCTTAAGAATATTCCCAAGGATGGCAAGAAAAAATATTCTCATCATGTATTCCGTAAGCACCTTTCAGTTCGTATGCATACGAAGATTACTATTCCTTATCTGCTCGAAGCGGGTGCCGTTCGTCTCGGCCGCTTGGCTATAAGATCTACTAAATCCATTGCATTGGTAGAGCTCCCTGTACGCCCCAACTACGGTTCAGGGAGTTCTTCAAGCAGCACGAGCTATGTCGAGTGCCCTATCTATCTACTTTGGGCTCCCTGAGGCCCGGCTGTTTCGATTTCCTCCCGGACCCCATCCGCCTCTTATCAAGCCTGCACAGGCAGAGATCTCGTGGGAACGGCCTATCAATATATCCTCCACCGTTTACACTTTCAGTCTCGATGCCAGAGTCCCTATAACTACGGCGTGCTTGTATCTCATTTTCGTTTGCACCCTGAATTATCTCAATAAGAAAAGACAGTATCGTCCATGGCCTATAACTCGCACGGCGTCGTTTACCCGCATTGCTTTCGTGCATAATATTTTGCTTAGTATCTTTTCCGCTTGGTTTTTCCTGGGCGTATGTCGGACAGTCACATCCTCTCTTCCGCCTCTCCCAAGAGCGCCTCATCACATCGCAGATGTCTTCTGCAGATTTGACCGCAGTCAAGGAAGCGGACCACCGCCTGAATCGACTGCAGGGGGGAATGCAATACCACCGCCAGCCACATTCCATGATGGTTTCACAGGGATGTACGAGGCTGAGTCTTTGTGGGAGAAGGGTATGAATTACTACACATGGTTGTTCTATATATCGAAATACTACGAGATTATAGACACCCTGCTTCTGCTAGTGAAGGGGAAAAGGGTCTCTTTTCTCCAGATGTATCACCATGCGGGTGTGATCATCTGTTCATGGGTGGGTGTTATCTACAGGACTCCGCAAGCGGTAGTGGGAATCTTCCTGAATGCAGGAATTCATACGCTGATGGTAAGTAGTGGCCCTCGGGATATATCCGGAAACAGACTAACTTATTAATTTGCGCAGTACCTCTATTATTCGTTGACTATTCTCAGGATTAAAGTACCTGTTTTTATAAAGCGGACCCTCACGAGGCTACAAATCACTCAGTTCGTCTTGGGCGGGCTGGCGTCATGGTTGTACGTCTTTGTCTCGTACGACAGCCCCATAGGCGTATCTTTGGTTGAGACCAGAGACTCGGACAATCAAACACATGTTAGGGGCGAAGGAGGGTCGACCGCGGCCCCCTGCATGGATAATAGCGGCCAGGTCTTTGCGCTGCTGTTGGCAACGTTATACCTCATCCCCTTGACCCAGCTGTTCCTCCAGTTCTTTGGCCGCACTTACAAGCTGACAGCAAAGAATAAATCGCTCTAGATACGTTCCCATAGATGTCAATTGTGGCAGATGTGCATACAGCGGTTGTTCCATTCAGTTGGACTTGTTAGGTTTGAACCTTTACGGGTCTGGGCTTAGGCAAATACAGTTGAAATTGTACTTTAAATTCAGGTCGGTAATAGATACGGAAAGGAACTAGGAAGAGAGAAGGCTATGTTCAATTTTTTATAGGTATCTTTTTACCATCTTATCACGATCATTAGGAATTGTTCAATCACAATATATCGGCACCCATCAAGCATCGTAATCCGGAAATGATTTTCGAAGAAACGTTAAGAGAATAAAATTAGATAAGGGGCCACAAAAGTGATCTTGTTCTTTTAGTAAAACACAATCATCGGGATTATGGAGTAAGAGATACGCATTCTTTGCTCAGCGACACAAATAGACCAATAACCACGCTGGAAAGATAGTTCGCCGTGCAAACATTCTGATGAGGAGGCGAATGTGCTCTCGCCTTGATATCAGCTCGTATGACTTCCCACCGGTATTTCTGAACAAGATCACATCCCCTTGTTCATCCGAAGAAAGTATTTTCCACAGTTTATTTGTCTTCTCCTCTGTGAAGAGGAAGGCAGTGCCGAGAATAACATACAGCCGTAGCACAGGATGTAAGTCCGGTGAATGCCAATCAATAGCTGATGACCACACTATCCGCGGCTGCCATGGTAGTCTTCTTAGCTTCATTGCGGCACCCCAGAAGTCTATGAAGCTAAAGCGGCCCCGTTCACCTCCTACGGCATGAACGCAACCGGTGGTATTAAAGGCCACGTGGGCTATCATTCGATCAACAACAACATCCACCGGAACCTCGTCAATGGTCGCCTCAGTTTCCGGTCGTGAACACCGCGTAGGTACCGTGACGCTGAAAACAGGGGACGCAACCATCGCAGTTGCGAGAGCTGTTGATGGCGTTGAGAATGGAACACTATACCCCGGGTATGGATATCTCTCCGCCGGTCCTATCACGGAAGGGCGGAGTATTAGCACCTTGGATGCCCATCCTTTTTCTTTAAAGAGCTTCAGGATCAATCGCTCTGCAAGGTGCTTTCCATACGCATATGGCCAGGGAAAGTCATGGAGGTCGAATTCAGCCGAGGAGCCAGTCTTCTTGATTTGGTCACAGGCATCTTGGGCACTGGCAAGGCTGTCATCCAACATTTTTCCTTCACCCAGAAGTGGGTAGATCTCCTCGTTTATCTCTGTTTCAGGCTTACTGGAAAGCTTGTAAAGATGTGTATTGGCGAAGGCCGTGGATACATAGACAAATCGATCTAGGTCGGTAAACTCCAGGGCCATCTGGGCTAGGGATTCGCTTGGCAGGACGATATGTCCAAACACTCGTTCAAGTGAATAAGTCAAGTTGATCGTGGAGGCCGCATGGATGATGATATTCACCTCCTTCCGCAGCTCAGAAATGATCTGCTGTGGGAGTCCAAGGCCCGCTTTCATGATGTCTCCATCTAGCACCGTTATAGACTCTAGGTTGGACAACCAGTTGAAATCCTCCTCGGGCAGATTTCTCCGCCATTTTTTAATCAGCTGGCTTTATGACTCAGTCCTGTCAGTTTGAACAAACCAAGAAGAATTAACAAGGCCAGGATGTCTCCAACCTTTTGCCGTTTCGACACAGTATATAAATGCGCTTGGGACGAGCCTTTGAAGCTAGTCGATGGGTGACTGCAGTTCCCAGGAACCCAGAGGCTCCCGTAATCAGAATAGACTTTTCGGAATAATAATCCCACATTATTGACAGTGATGATTATGCTGGCTAACGCGATTTATCCGCGGTTGCGCGGCAGTAGCCTCTATAGAAGGAACTAAATTCCGGGCAATGGGGACTCGCCACTCCCATGCACAGGAATTTTGCAAAAGTATGGGTACGTTCAAGAGACGTCAGTATCGATGTCTGCGAACTTTCTGGCCCACGTCTTATAGATAAATAGTCATATGGGATGGACCAGGAATTGTGACTTATGCAAATGACAAATATTAAAGTCTGAGACTAGTATGTGGGACAAGTTAAATCTCAGTCGGAGGGTGAAGACTTCTCGGCCATCAAGGGATCATCACAGGAGCACTAAGGTTGAAAGCCTGGAATGTCCTAGCGCGCAATAGCCCACCTGGCTGCGTGCGTAAGTCAGAGAATTATGGTATGATCGACAGACAATTGCCTTGGGATTGGCAACAGTATTCACCTATTAGGTAACGGCTGAAGAGCTCCGGAGTAGTTGAAGCCATGTATGCATGTAACGTAACGCAAGGGGGTTGATCTCGATCTGACCCTTTTCGTTAATTCTCTATTTCCTGACCTGTAACGTGCGAGGACCACAAGAGATCTCTTTTTGCTCCCTGGACGGTATGATGCTCTAGTGCCTTTTCTTTTTTTTTTCTTTTTTCCCCCGCCGTAAGGGGGTGTGGTTCTCTGTACACTACTCTATACTCGGCATCTAATCCGTCAGCGACAAAAGTACGAAAGCGAACAAAAGAAAAAGCAAAAGAAAAAGAAACTGTAACAACCATGATATCCAAGGAGAGGGCAGCAAGGAATCTCTTTTTACCACAGTAGCTGTCCATTTGAGTCAATAACAATTCATATCTACTCCTATATGATGACAGCAACTGATCCGAATCCCGACCTTTTCCTATCGTCGCTCGAAGGCCGCCCTTCAAAGCCCCCGATAGTCCAAATGCAATATGCTCAATCAATTCCTGGAAATAGCCATGAAACATCTACTCATGAGGCTGCTGACACGAGTAGCAATGCCCCTGGTGCAAGCAAGCTTCAATTCTGGGTTGATCGTAAAGTCACGTTAGCCTTTTTCCCGCTGTGCCTATTGACTCTGATGGTTGCGCTTGAAGCTGCCTCTCTCTCAATAGCACTTCCAGTGAGTCGCTCTAGATTTAGATGAACTACTGGGAATATGGGCTAAGCTATAAAGGTTGTCACTGAGGAATTAGGTGGATCGGCCATTGAGGCCTTCTGGAGCGGAACCTCCTTTGTCTTATGCTCTGCGTGCAAGTTTAACAAGCAACGAATATCAAGATGATACGCTAACAGTCCACAGGCTGTCAGTTGATCTTTACATCTCTATCAACTGCATTTGGTCGCCAACTGTTGATTATCATTGCTGTCATCTTTTTCCTCGTGGGAACTATTGTGTCTGGAGTGGCGACAAACTTCACACAGATGTTGGTGGGCCGTTCCATCCAGGGAACTGGCGGGGGTGGCATTATCGCTCTCAGTGAGGTATCTGTCACTGACATGGTTCCCTTCCGTCTGCGAGGTGCATATTGGGGAGTTCTGGGGTCAATGTGGAGCATCGGATCTGTTATAGGCCCTATCATGGGAGGTGGTTTCTCAACGAATTCGGACTGGGTGAGTAGAAACCCGTTATTTTCAACTGGCAGGCTATTTCTGACTTCACATACATAGAGATGGATATTCTATATCAATATTCCGTTTGCTGCTCTTGCAATTCCCCTGATAGTTGTATACCTGAAAATCAAGACAAAGAGGACGACGAGGCGCGAGAAGCTGAGGAATTTTGATACGGTCGGATTAGTCCTCTTCGTCTGCAGCACTGCATCCTTCCTGATTGCCCTGAGCTGGGGCGGGGTGATGTATGCCTGGTACTCTTGGAGGGTGCTATTGCCTTTGATCATTGGGACTATTGGCATGATTGGGGTGATGGTCTACGAGACCCATATCCCCAAAGACCCGATCTTGCAAGTGTCAGGGATCGATAACCACTCTTTGTTAATCAGTTATATTGGCACGGTGTTGCAAGGGCTTACGCTTTGGTGTATCCTGTATTACCTTCCCCTCTATGGAGAAGCAGTACACGGATTCAAGCCCCTTCCCGCTGGAGTTGCAGCTCTACCACTTGCGTTTGCCATTGCTCCGAGCGCTTGCGCGTCAGGGATTATTGCGGTGCTATCGGGACGCTACCGCATTCTCATCTGGATCGGTTGGACTGTCGCTACGCTAGGCTTCGGTATCCTCTGCTACTTTGATCGAACAACGAAGGGAGCTATTTGGATCTCTCTGATCGCAATCCCAGGCTTGGGTCTGGGTGCGCTTGTGACAAGCATCGCGTATGCTATTCAGGCTTGCTCGGAGACTCGCCATTTAGCCACCGCAACTGCGCTCTTCAGCTTCTTCCGTGCATTTGGCCAGTCACTCGGTGTAGCCATTGGCGGCGTGATCTTTCAGAATCGTATGGAGGCCAACTTGCAAAAGTACCCGGCCTTGGCACCCATGGCAAAGAAGATAAGCCATAATGCCGTCGCATTGGTGGGAAAGATGCAGACCGCACCACCATCGCAGAACAAGGATGATCTCCGCCAAGCGTACACAGACAGTCTACGGGCTGTCTGGGTTTTCTGCGGCGTCTGTACAGCGGTCGGGGGTCTTCTGAGTCTTTTGACGAAGGAGTATAGTATTGACCAAAACCATGATACGGACCAAGGGCTCGAGGAATAACGTGCAGAGGCTTTCCCTCATCTTTTAATCATTGTCCTTTACCCAGATATATGCATCCCTACTATGTATTTACATTCTTACTCCAGTAAGGAGCTATCGAATGCTGCCAACTACATAAATTGCTCATCTGTGGAAATTTATCGGGCTCTGTGTCAGATCTCCCTCGGTCACCCAGCTCTCGTATTAACTAATTGTTTAGATATCGTAACATAGGCTATTTTGAATCTCACCGTTAGTTAGCTTAGAGATTGCTACTCCAAGGGTTTAGTTCTAAATAACGATGATATCTTCCCTTCCCCGATACTAGCAGATCTCGTTGGAATGTCAAAAGCGTCCTTTGTACGGAGCACAGAGTAAATTCTACGAGACGTCCTCACTGGAATGTGGTTGGCTCTCACATATTTACCGTACTATATAGCCAGATAGTTCATAGACCGACAGGTTCAGCTTCGCATCTGACAGGATTGCTTATGATACGTCACTTTCTAGTGGGCCACTCTTGCTAGTTGCATACTATTTGCAGATACCCGAACGGGCTTACTCGCTCCATAATCGACCGATCGAAAAGAATGCAAGGGCCACTGCAATAACTCATCGATCGCTCCCTTACTTCTGAACACCAATAAATGTTGCTGGTGTGTGACATCTATTCAAAACAGTACAGTATAATCACTGTTTTGTGAGGGATCTTAGGTGCATTCTAATCCCCGACATAACTGCAGACAGATGTAACGGTCAGTGCAAACGGCATCTGGGGAAGGAGAATTAGAGTTGCCTTTACGGCGAAGCCTCTGTGAGACTCACGATTTTATTTCATAGTTTTCCCGAGTCGTACTACTTTTCTCCTCTAAAAGTCCGATACATTCACAAATAGCTTCCTCTTGCTATAACATCATGTCTGCTAGTCGCCATTCTAAATGTGTTTCTCATATGGAGACTCCGTCTGGGCTTCGGAGCAGGGTCCATATTGCAGACACGCCTATAACAGTGCAGAATTGGTACAAACATGTCAATTGGTGGGGTGTCAGTCTCACAATATTAGTCCCCTCATATGCATGCGTCCAGGCTATTTGGATACCCCTGCAATGGAGAACAGCGACCTTATCGCTGGTTTATTACTTTGTGACAGGACTCAGTATCACTGCGGGTGGGTAGGCACCAGTCTTTTGCTTACAGGGACACACTTGCTTAACATACAACTTTAGGATATCACCGGTTGTGGTCTCATACGTCCTACCAAGCCTCGAACGGCCTCAAGGTGTTTCTTGCATTAGGTGGAGCAGGGGCGGGTGAAGGCTCTATCAGATGGTGGGCCCGCAATCATCGCGCTCACCATCGATACACCGACACCAATTTAGATCCGTACTCTGTCAATAAGGGACTCCTATATTCTCACATAGGCTGGTTAATCATGAAGCAGAATCCAAAGCGCATTGGACGTGTCGACATCAGCGACTTAAATGAGGATCCCATCGTGGTATGGCAGCACCAAAATTATCTTGCTGTCGTGATCTTCATGGCACTGCTACTGCCTACTCTACTCAGTGGGCTGTCATGGGGCGACTGGGCAGGTGGTTTTATTTATGCTGGCATCCTGCGAATGGCCTTTGTCCATCAGGCTACGTTTTGTGTCAACTCGCTGGCCCATTGGCTGGGTGATCAGCCGTTTGATGCAAGCAAATCCTCTCGGGATCACTTTCTAACGGCCCTTCTTGCTCTGGGAGAGGGCTACCACAACTTTCACCATGAATTTCCTTCCGATTACCGTAATGCGACGAAATGGTACCAGTATGATCCGACAAAATGGGCAATCCGCATCTGGGAATACTTTGGCCTAGCCTACGACGTCAAACAATTCCATCCCGATGAGGTGCAGAAGCGGCGTATCCAACAAGCGCATGCTATGTTGGCGAGGCAAGCGGCCAAGCTGGACTGGGGGGTACCGCCTAGCCGACTGCCAGTTCTTGAATGGGAGGCATACGTAGAGCAAGCAGAGAAGAGTGGACGGTGTCTTATCGCCATTGCGGGAATCGTCCACGACGTGACCGATTTTAGCAAAAGCCATCCAGGGGGCTCGTTAATGCTTAAATCTGTTATCGGAAAAGACGCAACAGCTGCATTTCATGGCGGAGTCTACTCCCATTCTAGGGTAGCTCATAACTTGCTTGCGACAATGAGAGTGGCCTCTGTACGAGGTGGGTGTGAGGTTGAAATCTGGAAGACGCATCAACACAGCGATGCGGAAGAAACATCTCCTATGTGCCGGCGATAAGCACAAAACCAATCTAAATATAAGCGTAAAGGGGTAATACACAAGTAAACATAGCTGCCGGTCCACTTTGTTACGAAATACTGCGCTCTAGAAGTAAAAATAGTGACAAATGGTGGCGTTCCCAACTTGAACGCGGGACAATTGCCAGTAAAATGCCGTTGGCCTGTGTCCAAGACGTCCTGGAAATTTTACACTGTTGACATGTCACTTATGAGCGCCCCTGCTGAGGTAAGGGGACTGATTCACCTTTCTCTATGGATTGCACTCCGTACTAGTGGTTAGTAAGTTACTGTTAGTGTTAAAGGACATTGAGGAGAGTTCATTTTCTCAACCCTAGTCAGGTAGTTTTGTGTTTTGCAAGGAATGAAATAATATTTGGTAAACATGAGCCCCTTAACGGAACCATTCAAGTCTACAATTCTATTCTAACCCCGGTGTAGATCTTACGAAAATTGGGTTCCTCATCATACTGACCAGATCCAACAGATCTACATGATCTTCTGCTAATATTTCGGGTTGTTTACATGGCAGAATTGGACTCATTGGTCCCGAATTATTCTAGCGTTCACAACGATGATATTCTTCAGTCATCATGCCTCTCTATATGCCCTATGGATTTTCAGTCTTCCCCTCTCATGGGTAGCCTCATATGGCCTCCTACAACCAACACTGAACCTTTTAAAATCCACCGTACCGACCCTGAAAGGGAAGCTGAGCACTCTGGTGGGCGTGGTCGGAGTGGAATCTACCTATGATTACGTGATTGTCGGCGGAGGCACAGCGGGCAACACCATTGGCAGTCGCCTGGCCGAAGCAGGATTGTCTGTCGCCATCGTTGAAGCCGGTTCATTTTATGAAATTGAATCACCGTTAAAGTCCACCATTCCGGCAGGGTATAATCTTCTGGTTGGGTCTGACCCGGAAAATGTCAATGTCCCAGTTGACTGGGGGATCGTCACTGCCCCCCAAGCGGGCGCTAACGGTCGTAGACTGCACTATGCGCAGGGGAAATGCTTAGGTGGGTCGTATGTTCTCCTATGCATCGCCTACAAGCTGTCAGCTCTCGGCAATGGCTTTATAGATTATCTGACAGATAGACAGCTCTGCTCTTAATGCTATGATCTACCAGAGGTGTGTCTCCATGAGCATTCTGGCGGTGTTTGCTCCTCGCTAATCTTGAACATCAGAGGAACAACGGGGTCTTATGACCAATGGGCTACTCTGGTGGAAGACGATAGTTATAAATGGGAGAATATTCTTCCATTTTTCAAGAGATCGGTGCAATTTACGCCACCTGACACATCCAAACGGTTCCAGAATGCGACGACCCTGTTCAATCCAGACGCATTCGACAAGGACAGCACAGGGCCCGTTCAAGTATCTTATATCAACTACGTATCGCCGTTCGCAACATGGATGAAGGCAGGTATGGAAGCCATGGGGATTCCTGTGACTGAGGATTTCAACAGCGGCCACATTCTCGGAACGCAATACAATCCATCTACGATCAACCCAATCGACGAGACCCGCAGTAGCTCAGACACTTTCATTAGCAGTCTACCTATTACGAGCAAGCTGCATGTTTACCCTGACACGCTCGCCAAAAGAATCGTCTTCAATGAGAACAAGGAAACGACTGGTGTTGACGTCGAAACAGCCGGACAAAAATACCATATCCGAGCTGCGCGGGAAGTGATAGTATGTGCGGGCAGCTTCCACTCTCCGCAGATTCTTATGGTATCTGGTATTGGGCCTGGGAATACTCTCCATTCACTAAATATACCGATTGTCTCCGATCTCCCTGGGGTGGGACAGAATATGTGGGACCACCCGTTCTTTGCCCCCTCCTACCGCGTGAGCCTGGAGACAGAGACCCGGATGGCGCATGATAAACTCCATTATCTTGAACAAGGGGTCGAGTACGCGATAGAACACGCTGGGACTTGGACTAATACCCAAGAACTGCTGGGATGGGAAAAGCTTCCGCGTTCGCATCGCATGGATTTGTCTCAGGGCACACTTGACGACCTTTCACGATTTCCCAGCGATTGGCCGGAGGTAGAGTACCTTCCAGCAAACGGATTCGTCGGCAATTTTAGTGACCTTATGGGCCAACAACCAGCAGATGGATATCAGTATGCGTCCTTTCTCGGTGTCCTAATCGCGCCGACCTCGCGCGGCAACGTGACCATCCGCAGCAACTCCACATCCGATCGGCCTATCGTGAACCCCAACTGGCTGACCACAAAGACTGATGTGGAGGTTGCCGTCGCAATATACCGGCGGATGAGAGAGATTTGGCAAAGCGAACCACTGCAATCAATCGTTGTTGGGAACCTGTCCTATCCACTTCATGAGGACCAATCGGATGAAGAGATCATCCAGTACATAAGGGAATCACTGATGCCAATATGGCATCCGGCCTGCACCTGTAAGATGGGTGTACGTAGTGACCCAATGTCTGTTGTTGATAGTCACGCCCGAGTCTATGGAGTTGACCGGCTTCGAGTGGTCGATGCCAGCGCTTTTCCTCTGTTGCCGCCTGGACATCCTCAGAGTACAGTCTGTAAGCTTGGCCCCTATTCTTGCATTCGTTAAGTGAGCCCCCTACTAACTCTATGTTCAGATATGTTAGCTGAGAAAATTTCTCACGGTATAATAAGCCACTTGGAAAAGAAATGAGTAAACTTTCAATCTTGGTGCCAATACATGTAGTTATCAATTTGTCATTAGTCATAAGAAGTAGCTGATCTATAGTTATCGATAATAGAAGAACAAGCAGGAGTGTAAAGAGCAACAACCCTGTTAAAAAGCCAGACGGCCTTCTATCCATCTAATCATGTCGCAGGAGCTTTCCTGCGACTTTGTTTCATCCATCGTGGCAACTTCCAAGGTTTGGAAACGGCGACTCATGAAAGGCACCAACATCTTAACACACAGAGCCGGTCAGAAAGGATGACCAGAAACCATTTTTCTCCGTCCATTATCCTTAGTTTCATCGTTCCAATCAGACCAGTTAGTCCCATCTTGCCCGTGCTCGCCAAGTAGCAACCTGACCACATCCTTACGACCACGTTGATTTGCCCATTCCAATGGGGATAGGCCATCGAAGTCTTGAAGATAAGCTGCATTCATGCCACGAAGTGTTCTAACGAGCGGCGTATGTCCGATTCCTGCAGCCCAGAACAGTGCGGTTCTGCCACATCCGTCGCGGCAGTTGATATCCGCGCCTTTTTCAATTAATAACTTGGCGACGTCAATATAGCCAAAGCGGGATGCACATATAAGAGGGGTTCGGGAATTTGCATCTTTAACATTTAAATTCGCGCCATTTGCTAGAAGGACTTTCATTGTCTCCAGGAGCCCGTTTCCTGCAGCGACGAAGAGTGGCGTCCAACCGTTTTCGTCGGGAGACTCTATATTTGCCCCATGCTCAAGTAGTAGTTGGACCCTGTTTGAGTGACCTGCGGCGGTAGCTAGAAGAAGCGGTGTTCGGTGCTGATTATCTTTGGAGTGGATATTGCAGTTCCTCTGGGTTAGGAGTTTCATAACTTCCTCGTGCTCTATCTTATGATCCGGAATCAACGACTTCGTTGTTGGTACAACACTGTTGCCAGCTGCTAATGCGATAGGAGTTCGTCCGCGTACGTCTCTTGCATCCACCTCAGCCCCCTTGTCAAGAAGCAAACGGGCGACGGCCAGACGACCGTCCCTCGCCGCCAAGGAAAGTGGAGTTTGGCCGTCTATATCCCTCGCCTCAATATCAGCACCCTGCTGGCAGAGCATCTCCGCAACATCTTCATGGCCTCTCTCAGCTGCCATGTGAAGCGGCGTTTGTCGACACCATCTCCGATCCAAAGGTGACCAAACGAGTGAGTCACTGTCGCCCCACATATTCCGCACGTTGACGTTGGCGCCTCTCTCCAACAGCAGTCTCACCACCTCAAGGTGTCCGTGCCAAGCCGCCCAGCAAAGCGGCGTTGCTTCATACTCAGCACATGTGTATTCAATATCGGCACCATGATCAAGCAAGAACGTAGTGATGGCATGGTGACCCTTAGCAGCAGCTCTCAAGAGGGCATTCATACCCACGTCATCATCTCTAGCATGGATATCGGCATCGTTATGCACGAGAAGCTTCACAACATTCTCATAGCCTCCTTCAGTGGCCCACAATAGCGGTGTCCGCCCGAGCTCCGCATCCTTTTCCTCAATGTCCGCGCCTTGTTCAAGTAGCCTTCTCACTGCAGACTCTTGTCCATATATAGCCGCTAGCAGAAGTGGCGTGAACCTTTGCTCGGGATCTTGGGACTCAGTATAGCATTTTATATAGACTAATAGCTTCACGACCTCGTCGTGGCCATTTCGAGCTGCTAGTTGGAGAGGTGTGCGGCCTTCATCGTTGGTACAGTTGATATCTGCATTGGTGGTCTTAATTAAGTGCTGTATTGCATATGCGTGCCCGTACTCTGCAAGGTCGAAGATGGGATTGTAAATTTCTTCGTCATCAGGGCAATACAGGGTAGTTAAAGAAGGACTTCTGATCATGTTTAAAAAAATACCAGTGAGTTGGCACCGCGAAGTTGACCCGAGATAGCGGCGGGTAAGCTTTAGAATTGGGTGGAAATGGTTATGAATCTGGATTGCTTGTAGAGTATCTAGGCGTGCTGAGATAGATGAATATATAGCATTAAACTAGCTATACCCTGTAGGCATATATCTGTAGTAGCCTGAGACTGACTTAAACTGGCATTCCATTAATACATCTCTATGCGAGAGCAACTGTTGCGCAGAGACATACGTACCAAATGCGGTAAGAGTGCACTGACTCGGAAGATTCATGGAGCATTCCTAGGGCTAGGCTTCAGGCCTTCGCTGCCTTGTGCACAGAACTCATCTCTATTCCTTTAGTTTGAAAATGGCCTTTATGTTGTTAGCTATTTGCTTGTCATTATCGTGTCTGCAGCATAAGTCTCCCTAAAATTGGAAACGAATTATTTATCCGTGGTTAACCACTAGGCACATATTGAGCATAACCGAACACCTTCCAAGAACCCGGACTACAAATTCTAGACGATCCCAAAGCCTCCCCAGAAGCCACTAATCCCTCCATTACTCCATCCCCTGCCCCAAATATCCGAGTAAAGTTGATTATCATGGACAGAGCCTGACCCACCAGTCCGGCCTCGGACACAGCAAATGACACAGAAGCAGGTAAATACCATACAGAAGCTACGCGATAAGCCATCTCCACTTCCTAGCTATCAAACCATCACCGATGTACGGAAAACCAGGAGCAATTCAGATGCTCCGCGCGCGAAGAAACCGGTGCATAAAACGGTGCCACGTTTCGAATTTCCGGCTGATGATTGTTTTGCCGCTATGGCTATATATATCCGGCAGGATTTTAGAGGATGGGACGATTGTGATATGATTTAACTTGTTTGAGTATAGTATGGTATACTATATTGATGGGCGCTAGTTATGGGCCTAAAATATGGTCTATTTGTACCTCACGCCACGGGTTCTGATGTGGGGTATGGGTGGAGGGGCTAGGATATCTAGATGTATGTGATCCTTGGGTTGATTGTTGGGGCTTCTGTGTTTAGAAAATGTGGCCTCTTTGTTGTTGGTGGTGGTGGTGGTGGTTTTGTGATATTGTGTAGTGGAGTTGTTCTAGTTGTCAGCTTATGGGCCATGTTGCCCACTATGGCACGCTGTTCAAGCATGTCACCGTTTTGTGTTAGATATTTCATTCTTGGAGCCCTTCATCACGCCTTGGGGTTCTTTGCATCGGTTTGTCTATATGGAGGATCTCGTCTTGATAACGGTTGATTTTCGATAGACTATATAATGGCTTTTCTTGTCTCTTGGCTCGTTCGGTTGTATAAAGTGAACTCCTACTCTAAGGAATCCGAGACACTAACAGTTTGAACCAAGAATCTTACGTGTGATTGCGGATACATTTGCAGAAAAATGTTTTTGAAGATGCAATGCAATTGAATAAGGATATATGTAAAATCCCTCTATATACAATGATCGCCATAAAGGCCCGAGCAAAGCTCATCGGGGCAAATTTTTTCTCCAAAGCATGCGGAAAGTTCCTGATCCTCCACGCTCGACATATGCCGGAGTCGGATTCGATCCTCCTAGCGACGCCGGCGTCACCCGTTAAGCAACATCCGAAGATATGTCATGCATCACTTGCCCCATCTGTAGAACACTGAAAACTCGCTGAAGTTCGAAAACAAATGCTGTACTATACATCAAAATCATTAAAAGACGATCCGGCGGGAGCTTTTTACAGCTTGCCCTCCTTCTTGTTGAAGCGCTCGAAGGAGGAGACAGGGGGCGCGGAGTTGGGGTTGGGGTGGTGCTTCTTGAGAGCCATGTTGACGTTGTACTCAAGGTCGAGGTGGGCCTTGGGGTCGTCGGTCTTGGGCTTGAAGTCCACAACGAGGTCGTCCTTGACGGCGAAGACGGAGTCAATGTCAAGATGAGGGTCGTCGCTGGGGTAGATCTGGTTGATGACGGTGGCGTAGTCGGGGTGGGTGATCATGAGATGGATGTGAGCGGGACGCATGGGGGAGCGGTCCATGAGGTTAAGGAGCACACCGGCGGGGCCGTCGGTGGGGAGAGAGTAAGGGGTGGGGTGGTAGCAGTACCACCAGAACTCGCCCTTCTCGTTGGAACGGAACTTGCCACGCAGGTTGTTCTCGGTCTGGTTGGGGTCCTGGAAGTCGTACTGGCCGTTGGCGGAGGCTTGCCAGATATCGAGGACGGCGCCCTCAATGGGCTTGCCGGTCTCCATATCCTTGATGATACCGTGCATGTAGGTGACCTTGCCGTTAGGGTTGGGGTCCTGGATGATGCTGTCGCCGAGCGCGCGGAAAGGAGCGTTGGGAGACCAGAAGGGACCAAGGATGACGTTGGAGGTAGGGGAGACACCGTCTTCGGTGACGATCTTGTTGGCGATCTCATCGACGAGGCTGATTGGAATTCGTTAGTTTGGTTCGCACTGTGTGGGAGATCCCCATGTGGTGTATCGACTTACGATTCCAGACCGATCACATCGCAGATACGGTGGCACTCGTTACGGACGGGAGTGCTGATCTTGCCGATGGAGTTGATGAACTCGACACCCAGCATCCATTCGGCGGGGGTGAGCTCGACCTCACGAGCGAACTCGTGGATGTGCTTGATAAGAGAGCCCAGGAGCACACGAGTGCGCTCGGGGGTCTTAGGTCCCATGGAGTTGATCACATAGGGAGTGAAGTTGGGGTCGAACTGGCGAGTGGTAGACATTGTGTATGGTGGATGGGGTGGATGGATGTCAAGAAGACAGTTCAGAGGGAGTTGAGAGGGAGAATGACTGAATGGATGAAAGAGAGAACATAGCGAGACGTTGAGGGTCTATATAGACGACCTCAGGCAAGTCCAGATGGTTAGGGATGCCGACGGCAAATCTTTTCGGCTCCTCATCCTGTGGGGGGTTGGCAACGGTGCTGGATCACAACATCCCGTTGAGAGGTGCCGACGGGATTGGTTCAATGATGGTCTGATGTGCTCATGTTGGCAACTGTCAAAGTTTAACAGCCGAATGGGCGGCAGGTACGTAAGACTAGCGAGTGCTTCTCGTTGGGCCAACTGGATCGCAAAGACTCCCGGTCGATATCAGATTTGTTAGTTGCAACGGAGGTTGGCTGGGGGCGGTAGGCGGCGGATCTGAATTTACCCGCGGGTAAGTCCTCTCGCTACCCCGGGATTCGCCCCCGGGCCTTTGGATTTCTTTGCCCATGCTGTGATTGGTTCGTCGCCTTGCCGATCCGAACACCCGACCCACGACCCGGCACGTGCCAGCCGTGATCTGACAAACGCGGGGTCGCGTACCCTGGTGAGCATTTCATGCCCATTCCCCCGGAATAACTAGTATCCGAGACAGTATCGGGAAGGCGGTGTAGATGGCAGAATCTCCCGGCCACGGACTTTCTGCCGGCCCGAAGACCCTGGTTCGTGTATCTCTGGGACAGTTGGACATCTTCAATTCTTATCCGATTTGATTGGTTCTACTAGCAAACTTTACCAGCATTGTCCCATAGATTTCAGAATTTAGTATAACTCAAATGGTTCCAGAATCAGTGGCGGAGGATCGAAAATCCGCATCCAACAACCACCATCGCGCCACCGGCAGGTTGCCCAGAGGCGTCGAGGCGGAAACGAGTGGATACTGTTTTATAGTTTCGTTTCTCGCATACCATTTGTAGTGAGAGTTTCTTCAGTCTCCAGGGTGGCTTGTAATTGGTCCACAATGCTTACTGCGTATTATGGATGGTCGAGCCGGAGGTTCCGGGGTTGTCAACATATCGACATCGCCAATATCACGACGGTGGCCATTCGGACCTACTCTGCACATCGAAGTCTATGACGCTTAGCGATGTCTCGTTAATATAGCTATACCTTGTAGTATTCAGGATGTAATTTAGTCAATATGAAGCGAAAGTCAAACACTGGGGGAAAACATCACAGAGGCAATCTCGTACGTAGTATGAATAGTCACCCGTTATGGAATATATATTCTACGCTGATGATATTCAGTTGTCTTCCGCTTAGCCATTCAAAGACCATGGTAGAATTCGCTGTCGAACAGTCGAAAGGATGTATTTAATTATATCTCGTTTCAGTTACATCCTGATCGGAATTTCCATGAGTTAATTATTATCATTAGTTGGATAAATCAGAATGTGATTTACTATCTATACCGTCCTCTCAAGCACCGTTAGAAAGGCGGTGGGTGGAATGGCCGGACTCCGTTGACAAAAATGCGGCAGATACTGACCGCCCGGGCGCCGAGGTCCGTTTTCCTACCTAGGTCTAGCGCTCCGAAGTCGAGTGTAGCAGGCGGTGTGAGTCTTCAACAACACTGCTGGTTTTGTTATACCACAAACCAGTTACAGAACTTATCTTTAAATGACTGGTGCTATAAGCCCAAGATATAAAGGACAATAGCCTCATGAAAGGAGAATGGTTCTCTAAAGTTTATGTTATCTATTCATTCAGTAGGAACCATGCTAAATGATGCATGCTTTATATGTCTTGCTAATGCCGCTTTGTTTGGAAGGGCACTTGTTTATGTGGGGCCTGAAATCCACCTGAGGCATTTACAAGTGAGTGACCCTTTATATAAGCCAACGGTAACTAAATAATAGGAAGTCGATAGGCTGTAGGTTCACTTTACTTTCCTTCCTTCTCTTTTAATGTCACTCAATCTTCAGCCGCCGCATCGCTATCGCTTCCTGCTTTCCAAGTTCAAAACTTCAAAGATGTCACCCACGACACTTCCTTCTGGTTGTTGTCTCTGTGGCAAAGAATCTGGGCTCTTCAAATGCGACCAGTGTAAGCTGATGCCATACTGTAGCAGCGAACACCAGATGCTCCATCTCCCATGGCACCAAAATACTTGCATGGCGATAAAGAGGTCTTGCGTTCATCTGGAGCAAACAAAGGAGTCGTTGATCAACGATGGATATGGCTTGCCTATTGCCACCAGTCAAGTCTCGGTGTGGGCGCCACAGTACATAGAAGCACGCCTGGGCTTGATTAAGGCCATATCTCGGATCAAGCATGTTGAATCAGTTCAGGCACAGCTTAATCACTCCATGGATATGTTCGAATCATGCGGCCCTGAATTTGCGGGCGTATGGGAGGGCATCCCTGCCTTGATGGCCCGTCTACACAAGGACCAGGAATGCTACGATTTTGTGAAATGGTGGCATGCGGTCTGTGCAACGAGCGGTGATATTAAGGCCCTCTCAAGATCGCTGTCTTGTAGGATCAAGAACGCCGATCCTTTCGAACGCCTTGACCAGTTCGGTCCCAGGTTCGTCAATTCCAGCTACATGGTCGTTTTAACCCTTCTGAAAGTGAAATTATTGCTGGACCTAAGGAGGCTTGATCAAATGGTTTTCGCACTTGGCGCTACATTTCCTCGTGAGATCCTGGATATGATCCTGTCATTCGTACCTTGGAGTCCGGTCGTTGCCGCGAATCGCAGGGCCCTGGACGATGAAGCGCGCAATGAGCTAATTCACGAGTTAGAGGAGCAAGTCGGCATTTTGTTTGAGGAGCTTCAGAGGAGCGCTCCTATTTTATGGTCGAGGCTTGTGTGCCAAAAAGATGATCTCGATACGAGATACAGCGAGATCTCTACGTCATGGCACCTGATGGAGAAAGTAGACAAATATCTTATGTTCAATCACACAGCATGGATTGAGACACCAGGCGCAATCGATTTTATCAACTCGAAATTAGTAAACACCATTCGTAGGTGAGTTCATGGCCTTATGATCTTTATGTGACTGAGTATATCACAGGTCGCGATCCATTATTAGAATAATTCCTCACTCTGATTCTCACTTGTGTCTTCACTTCACCCGGACATTGCTATGTTATGAATGCCTGTTTTATATCTCCCCTCTTTGGGACACCATCTGTCAATTTAAAAGAGCCTAGCATCAGTGAGCGTGATAATCACACTACAGCTGGTTAAGCACAATGTCAATTCCAAACTGCCTAGGTAGCATCAAGACCATTGCTCAGTCTTCTGTCCATATTGATGGAACTCTGCAGCTATTAGCCTTGTTTCCAATTTAAAGACTTGTGCCACTTACGAAACATCAACGACTGCACACTTGCCTCCTCGGACAACATTGGCAGCCTCCTGAATAGCTGAATCTAGCCTGTCTTGTTCCTTCACTGTGATACCCCAAGCTGTACCTGCTGCAGTGGCAATCCCTGGGTAGTCGGGTGATGGTTCGAATGATATATTAAGGTCTATACCAGCCTCGGTTAGCTGTTCGGTACTGAGCTAATGACAACGTTTCACCCCCGGCGGCGAAGAAGTAATGATGGACTCACCACGTCTATTCGACCTCGAAGAAAACCCATCCTGGTGTACAAGCAATGCTGACACCTTCGGTGCGTTCCATCCTCCATTATTTAGCACGACCAGGAGGAATGGGAGATCATACCGCCTAGCAATCCAATAGACACTCTCCATTTGTGAAAAGAGGAATGTGCCATCTCCAACGCTGTCACTTCATTAGGCTATTGTGGTCATAATTTATTATCAGTACTTACATTGCACAGACGAATGCGCCGGGCTTGGCCAGCTTCACACCTAATGCCGCTCCGCCTCCCCACCCTAGCCCACCGGCGCCGCTTCCGACGAGTGTTCCTGGCTGAAGGAGTGTTAACGGCAATTTGGCAAATCAGGCAGATAAAATACCTGTGTCAAGTTAAGATGCTGGATAATGAGGCCTGCGTTGCTAACGGCTTCAACAAGGTAAACAGCATCATTCGGAAGGTGGTATCGCAGTCTGGAGGCGAGGTATGGGACACGGATCGCGCCGTCCTGGGACGGAGACTCCAGGGCTCGTAGATCCTGTCTCCAGCGTAAATAGCGATTCGCGCGTGCCTCAAATGCTATAGTATAACTTGTTCTTTCAATGCCTTTCTTATCAATAAAGGCATTTAGTTGCCGGAGTGCAATTTCACAACTAACTTTTAGCCTGCGGGTTGCATTGATCGAGAACACTAGGTATAGGTGATTAACAAGGTGATCGACTGGACCGGAATGGGTACTTACGTGGCATTTGTTGCTTAAGTGGATCAACATCAAGGTGAAACACCGTCGTGCCTAGACAGTCAACAAGTGGTATACCTAGCTTGGATGTAAGTCTCTTACCCTTCTGTGGCTTTCCAGCGGTTGGGATCCAAGGCACATCGCAGTCCAGTATTAAGATTACATCCGCCTCGCACACTGCTGGGTGCGTGGTGACGGTAACACCCAGGTAGGCTTCGTGATCAGTACGCATGCTCATGTCGGACCCAACTGACTCAAGGACATCGATTGGTAGCTTGTCGCACAATTCTGCCAACAAGGGCGGTGCTTGTGGATTACGGCCAAGATATCCTGTGATAACAAGTGGTTTCTTTGCATTCATGAGCGTGGTTGCAATGAATTCAACATCTGGTACTGTCAGCAATATTCGAGATCGGGATTTTCAAAGTTTCTCTGACCTGATTCGGGCAATGCGCTGGGAACAATTGGACTGAGTGTCTCCTCCCCAAGAAATCGCCTGTCTACGTGCTAAACATTCATGTTAGCATACTGCTGCGTACTTGGTGTTAAACTATATAGTTGTGCGTACTTGTTCGAGCACCTCCCTTGCTGCCGTAAGGTATACCGGTCCCTTGGAGTCGGACAATGCAAAGTGCAACGCTCTATAGACCATCTCTTTGATATTACGACCAGTCTTGATCTCACCTGAGTACCTGCAATACTGCCGAACAATTGCTGCCTGGTCGGGTACATCTTGCAGCCAATGAATGAACCTACAACAAGTCAGCCTGCCTGAAAATCATACTTCCTGTGAGCCATACTCTGTCCTTGAGCCGAGGAGTTCCCCATTCTGGGTGAAGGGGCTGAGTCCAGCAAAACATAAAACCGGAACTCTGCCCACTGAGGCGTTATGAATAGACTGTCCCATGGCGAGAGTACCGCAGTCCACATGCACAATGACACATTGCTAAATTGCTTCAGTATAAGAGCGTGGATTAACCCCTGGTATATCATACCGGAATCCCCGTGACCTGGGCATACCCTAGAGCGGCTGACAAGGCAACCAATTCAGAAGGACAGGTGATGATGGTCGGGAATTTGGACGAATTTTCTGTTATACATAAGCCTTCTACTCAGTAGCAATGCCCAATAGATCGCACCTTGTTTTGCCTTGATCATTGCTTCCAACATGGCCGGATGGTCGCTTCCTCTGCTGTCTGTTAGGCACACATACCAAACACACATACTCAAATACTTACAGATTGACAAAACAATGGGTGACACCAGCCTCCGCTTCAAAAGTCATTAGCTACATCCCGTCAACAGTCCCAGATTAACATACAGAGTGCTTCAAAGAAGCCTTCCGCAGCAGTGGCCATCCCGCCATCGTTGTCATTCTCGTCTTCCGCGGGATGTGGCCTCTTTCTCGGATTTGCTGACTCTCCACTCCTAAATTCCATGATATCCAGTCCGTTACCGATTTAGCTGGTGTTGTGACTCTCAATATCCCCCAAAGCTACCGAGGGTATATATCATATTTAAGGCGTCCTACAGATCGACATGCCAAGTAAGCACGTGCCTGACGCCGTGTTTCTCGACGTCCCGAGAGCCAACCGTTTCGATATCTCAGATGCGAATCCGCAGTGGTTAGGTTCGGACCCCGCATATACGATGTGTGGGACCTGGATCAACAGTCCCAATTCGTCGCTGTCCATTCCTGCCCCTGTCAATTTGAGCGAGGTTGTTTAGTCATGGTGGGAAGTTTCCTTGGGTAGAGGTAACCTGGGTTGACCGCGATTTAGGTTACATTAATATACCCCGGTATATCTACCTATTCAGATTTTGCAACCGCTTACAGGACTTGGGTTGCTGTGACTTCCTCCTTTTAGGTCAGTCCTCGGATTTCAAAGGAACCAAATACCTGAGATTCACCAGAATGCTTATGATTGTACGGAGTATAGTAATCGGATAACTTTCATGCTACCTACTCCCCAGGATTATGTTGAAATGAAAACCCTTTCTTATACATACCTATTTCCAGTGAACTGGCTGTGGTAGTATAACCATGAAAGTCAAAACGTATAACTGTACTTTCTGGAATCTTTTACTCTCCTTCGTTTTTCTTTCCTGTCTTTGTCTATTTTCTCTTTTCCACCCTGCTACTATGATAGTCAAAATCTTATATCGAACGAACTACTAAGCCAGAAATAAGTAGTTCATCTATGCAATATGGGACTATATCCCAATAGACAACGCTGATTGGTCACCTACCGCAAGATATTCCTTCACCAATGATAACAACCGATCACGTCACTTCCAGCTCGGTCTTAACATCGAAGAAACTAAGACTGACTCATCGACCTCTGCGTGGTAATGATGAGAAGAAACTATAATATTCTTTCCATGCTTGAACCTTGTAATCTATCTACCGATATAATCTTCCCCATATCAGTGCTCACCAGACCAGAATCCCGCCCATGCAAACACCCCAATCCAAGAATGAGTCATTCCAAAGACCCAACCTTTCGAAACTACAATAAATCTCAAGCTACCCTCTACGCAGAGTCCCGTCGCTCATACCCAGATCAACTCTATGACGCTATTATCCGCCACCATACCGAGACAGGCGGACGGTTCGATTCCCTTCTTGATGTAGGATGTGGGCATGGGAACGCCACCCGTGATTTGGCGCGGTTGTTCGATACGGTTGTTGGGGTGGATCCTAGTCCGCAGATGATAAATACTGCACGTGAACTTGGAGGAGACACTTCTTCAGGGAAGCCGATTCGATTTGCCGTTGAAGCAGCAGAGAAATGTTCCAGTGTAGAAGGAGTCGAAGGGGGTGTTGACCTTCTGATCTCGGCTATGGCGGTAAGTAATAATGTTCGACATTGGTTTTGTTGTGGGAGGCAATGGGCAGTTATCGCACAATAACTAACAAAAATACAAGGCCCACTGGTTCTCAATGCCTGAGTTCTGGGTCGAGGCAGCGAAGGCCGTTAGACCTGAAGGGACGGTTGCGTTGTGGACCTGCGCCTCGCTTTACTGCCGTGAGGAATATCCTCTTGACGCGATATCTCAGCTAATGGTGATCTAGACCCCTCTACGCCAAATGCAACTGCAGTGCAAAACGCATTGTATCGCCTTGAGCGAGAGATTCTCAAACCGTTTGAACTCCCGGGGAATAAACTGTCGGCGGATCTCTACGATGATTTACTATTACCTTGGTTGCTGAGCTCTCCGGTGCCGTCTTTCCGGAAAGCAGATTTCATTCGTTTGGAATGGGGTCGAGATGGCATCTTGTCTGAGGAGGATGATTTCTTGATTGGTAAGGATACTACGTTGCATGAGCTTGAGAAGAGCCTTGGTACAGCTAGCATGGTGACACGTTGGAGGGAGGCGAATCTGGACCTAGTAAATACGGAGGATGATTGCGTGAAGTGTACGATGAGGGAGATATGGAAGGCATTGGGTGAGGAGGTCGACCTGAGGGTAGGCCATTCTTATGTGTTGTTATTGTTTAAGAGATGTCAAGAATGAGACGCACAAAAGGGAAATTGAACACCATTCGGCGCTGAGATGAGAGGTCCCGACCTAGTTCAACCTACCATATAAGGGCTATCTTCAAATCCACCCAGAAAACAGACCCTACTCCACCAGTAGATGGATACAATTATTTCTGCAGATCTTCCCCTTTCCTTCTTTGAAAGGAAAAGGATTCCAACTTGACCATCCACCGAATTGCGAGAGCTGGCAGCTTTGGGTAGGCAATTTCAGCCATCTAGTGGTCCGTCCTGCGAAACCCACTCACTTAGCTGGGTTCCACTCATATTGAACGAGTGGAGGCGGAAGGTACTACTGTCAGCTAAATATGCATACACCTCTCATTGCTGCAGATTTCAGTCGTCATCTATGTATGCTACTGTATTATCCCTGTGTCTTTTCGCCTGTTAGACCTATAATAAGATTTCGCAAAATGCATTCCGCCAGCCACCTGAGATACAAACGGAAGGGTAAGTCATCATGGAGGCGACACCCCGCGCAACAATTTGAGTCAGACTCGGTGGTATTTAGGGTGTTTTAACACCTGTTGGACGACACCCTTGCATCTGTCTCTCAATACGTCCTGAAGCGTGGAATATTGGAATATAGTGCAGCTACTGACACCCTTGCCCAAAATGACCAGCCGTAAGCTACTGAATCTCTGCAGGGTCGCATTTCCCATTGACTCTTGACGTGTAGATAAAGTTGAGAAATCCGTTGGTTCTGTCAAGGTCCATTCCGTTTCATCTTGCAAATTATGGATCCAAACAAATCATTAACATGCCATACATCTAGATCAAAGGCAAAATCAACGAGAAGGCAGACCAGATCAAGGGTGAATTCGGCATTGACGTCCCAGGCATTGGCTAAAGTGCCTCAAACCATTTGCAGGCTCAGTCAGCAATAGAGCGCATGGGAAATTTGGTCTCGGAGGAGAACTTTGAAAATGCATCTTTTATCTTCTTTGTCAAGGATAATATTGTCTGCGTCCAGACCCATGAGCCACTGGGTGGGCATGATATCATACTGTTTGAGTTACGTGATAAGATTAAAGGTCGGCCGATCGTTATTTGATGCATAAGCTTCACCGGCGTTAATACAGGTATGTACAGGGGAGGTTCGCTGGCACCGCGATCGTGGGTACGATGCCATCTCTATGCTTGACACGAAACCGTACTGGTTCCGATTCCAACTATTTCACATCAGGGTTCCCATGGGTACCCCTGCTGCCACGCTTACCTACGAGTCTCTTCAAGACCTACAGGTACACCATTCATTTAAAGGGAGTCTTGAGTCAGAATTGTATTCCCTCACTCTTGACAGCGGTGCAGTTATAGAAGGAGAGTTTCTAGAGTCAACAGCTACGAAAACCGAGGATGTTGTGGGTGATGGTATCTGGAACCCTCCAGATGATGTGGGGGGCCCGGTTGACGATGGTTAATTTCCCTCCGGTACGGTTGGACAGCCACAAGGAAAGCACGATGGTATAGCGTTGCCTACCGTTGGTTTTGATAGTAAATGATGGTTTTTCATCATCTCCTCTGTGTTGCTCCTACGTTTGGGCTCCTTACCGTCTATGTTTATCAATTATAGGAAAGTTGTTTGGTAACACAGCATTCCAGAGCATCTCTGATTCCAACTCATTACTGTTAAGACTGCTACATAAGCGTTTATTTCAACGTAGTCTTTTGATTATACACCCATAGCACCGCTACCTTGGCTGAACTCAGCTCATTATTTATCATCACATTATGAGCAAGCTCTATTTTTGATGCAGCTAGATTGGGCACCAATTCATGATAAGAGCAATACGACCATGACCGACAAATCTTCAACCAGTAGGTTGAGAGGATACCGGGGCTGGGTATAAAAATACTCCCTGTATTATAGATACAGGTGATCTAACGCAGTGTGATAATTAGATATTCTGATGCAGCGATAGATCGAAGCCAGGGCCGATTGCAGTTCTCCCACAACCCGGCCCGTGGTTGCCGGCCTGAATCGAAGAGTCACCAGAGGATTTTAGGCCAAGAGATAACTCCAGCGGTGATGCAGGAACGTTCGGAGTTCAGCTATGCCTCCAAACTGTTAGCATTTGATAATACAATTTCAATGATCGCCGTACGTACCACATCTTTAAACAGTCCCAAGAACAACTTCCTGGATCTAGGCCGAGTAAGCTGCGGTGCTGATATAAATGCCAGGGTGCCCAGGTTCTGCACACTTGTTACCCCAAGTAACAATGACAGCCTGCTTATTAGAACTTTTATCAACAAGCGGACCACCACTGTCCCTTAACAAGCGTCCCTTCCCCCGACCTCGACACCCGCACAAATATTCACGTCATCGACACCACTGGAACCTGAATAGGCGCTGACACAGCGTTTGTGATCAACAATACTGACTTCTGTGAACCTCAGATTGGTAGGACCTCCTCTGCCATAGCTAGTAGCTCCCCAGCCGCCGACCAAGCCCTTGGCTTTTGTTGCGGGAGTGTCTGCCTCAGAAGCGGAAAGTTCGACAGCAGAAACATCTGGTCCGAATTCGAGACTGCTCTGCAGTTCAAGAACAGCAATATCGTGTTTAGCAGTATTGTAATCGTAATCAGGATGCTGGATATTCTTCACCACTGTGACGAATTGCCCACCTGAGTCTTGCCGCAGTGAGCCAGCTCTAACCTTGATCGAGCTCGCCTTCATACCCCTCACGCACTGGGCAGTAGTGAGAATATGCTTAGGGTCGATAATGCTTCCTCCACATGTAGGTGAATTGGTTTGTAGAGAGACCTGGTAGGGAAACTCTCCGGGCTTCGCAGTCGACTTGGTGGATGTTTGTATTGATAAACTACTTGTATATTGGCCTACTATAACTTGTGTTGTACAGACGCAGATCGACGTTTAAGAGAGGACTACACACAGCACTAGAGTTATGTTTAAATAAAATAGCTAGATGCTACAGGGTATATCGAATAGGCTCAGAGTGGCGTGCCCTCTTATCCATTGCTTTTTTTAATAACGACAGCCGCCGGCTTGGATTTTTGTTGCAGACCCGGGTATCAAGGCAAGCCTGGGACAACCCGTCTAGGTAGAAGTTGCGGCAACCGAGCCGACATCATCCCAGGAAAATTGTGTATATACATAGAGAAAAAAAAAAAAAAGCAAAACATACAACAGGAGGGATTCGCTGGTGGTCACCCACCCAACTACTAACCTCCCGGCGTGTGGCTTAAGTACGGCTGAGCGGACGGGAAGCCCTGTTCTCCACACCCTGTGGTCGTATGTACTTGGTTGCCCTAGGTAAAGGATCATATAGTGGATTTGTGCTGTTCTGGATGAGTTCTAATCTCAAGCACCAAAGCGCATCATACTACTGGGATCCAGCAGTAAAAATGATTCGTACCGAATCCCTCTGTTAAGAGCACTGGTTGGGTCACTGATGGTGTCGGTGATCTCAGGCGATGCAGTGGCCCAGCCCAGTAGCAACGCCCTCCAGTAGCAAGCATCAGCGGCTGGAGTTAAATACCGCTCACGAAATACTTTCACGTTGTTGTCTGCAATCATACGAGCCTTCGCAGGGTCATCTAGAAGCTCTTGTATCTTGTGTGGCAAATCTGTCCAGTCCCTTTCCACTTGAACAAAGTTCTGCTGAGGGCCGGACGAGACGAGAAGGTAGTGGTGATGTTGGATATATTGCAGTTTATGAATCACTACTACCGATCGGCAAGCCTGGCGATATTTGAGAGATGCAGAGTAGGAACGACCTAGCAGATATTAGTGAGGTTTTCTCGTCAATATGGATGATGCTTAAACCATAAAAGACTCGATACCTTCCACGTGAGCAATGAACCTGTAATCGCAATGTTTTTCCATGCTAAGGTAGTTGGCCTTATTCTTCCACTCAACTTCTTTAACATCTCCCCAGGCGTAATTCCGTGCAATCTCAAGAAGTGTACGGCGTAGCTTCGGGGCAAAACTCAGCTTTCCGCGCCAGACCAGCTTATCCTGTTTTTCCTCCCAAGGTAGCTCATCCTTTTCCACATGTTTAACTACCTCGTCATACGGTCCAATTCGACTATCAATGTGGCCCCAAGACCAGAAGCCAAAATCCGGCATAAGCCAAACGGACTCCTCGGTAGCCTTCCGTGCCAATACCCAGAGAGGATGGTCTGGTCCGGCGATGTCCTCCAATTTATCTTCTACGGAGAAGATAATTTCCGTGTCTGGGATAGCATGTGGCGCCGAGACTAGGGCACGATGAATTGAACTCAAGATCCCCAGGATCTTGCGGCGGTGATCCTCCCCCTTGGCTAGAGCTCTATGAACATAAAGCCGTCCTTGGTAGACAGCTACCCTAGCCATCCCATCTACCATGTTGATATTGTCGATATCAGCCCTGCTAATTCCATGTCTGGCTGTCCAGAATAACTGGGCACGGAGAGGATCTTCAAAAAGACCGGGGAACAAAGTGGTGCATTGAGTTTCATTGTAGGAATACTCAAAGGGATTAAAGACAGACCGCGTGGGAGGTGCAAAGGACGAGGAAGTAGTGTCAAGAAATGGCTGGGCGGGACACTGAAGACAGTTGTCACATTTAAAGATAGTAGAAGCCTGGCAAGCACAATGGCCAGCGGGGATTAGATGATTCAGTAGCGGATGGATGTTGTCTCTATCAGAGTTGACTCCTAGCCATAGTGACCAGATAGAAACTCCAAGAACCGCAGTCAACGCCAATATCACTATCTGGAGGGCGGTAGGTCTCATAAGTCGCCCCATCTCAGTGTTTCTCGTCGTGTAGCAGTGGAAAGGAAATTTCAGGGGAGATAGGGGCCGACTTCAGTAGGCAAGAAACAGTCGGCGACAACGGGAGGGAAAGAGAAATCTTCTGCCGATGGCGACGAAGGATTACTTACCTGCGATCGGTCACCAATTCCAAGTCGCACAATAGAAAACCACTACGTGAAGCGCTGATAAAAAAAATACCACCTCTCTAGGGAACGACTGGCCAAACATCCCTGTCGATTTCAACCCATTGGGACATCCACAATATGCGGTACTCCACGGAACGGCGAGTACCTCGAAGGATGGACTTTCATAACTGTGCAGTGTGGACCTCTGGACCCCGAATAGACCCACTATAATATGATTCTTGAGAATGGATCCACCTGGGCTAACGAGTCTTGGTATTAGCTTCTTTTTCTGAGGCAATGTCTAACCAGAACATGCAAAGTGACTGCGCCGTATGGGTCTGTTACTGTCTAAAAGGTGTGCTCAGCTAAACTCCCTGTCAGCGTTGCTATAACACATGAGATATGTGTGCAAAATAGTACTTGCAAAAATATTATTCCATATTGATTTCAGTATAATCTATCTTCGTCTCGTTTTCCCACTCCCCGAGGTTCAAACAGTAATAGCCAAATAGCCGAGGCATTTACCGCACACACCCTCTCTATGGTTTTTTATTGATTCGAAGGCCGTCCAAGGTATCTCAGCCCTGGCCCCATTTCTAATAATTACCTGGTGTACGGAGCGACCGGCTGCGGCCCTACTCTTAGCAAATTGTGGGGGGTAGGAGGGTGCTTAAGATTGCCCTTAGGCAGCTTTGTGAAATGACGGTAGAAACGAGGAATACTCTAAAGCTGAGCAGATATCTAAATTCGCTTAGGAACCATGCATTCAGAATCGGTTATTTGTTGATACTAAAGCTTTGATATAGGTAAAACACAGTAACTGTGACATGTATGTGTGTGATCGAATATACGGATGTAGAACTAGCATTAGTGCTGAGAAGGCGGCTCAAATCTATCTGACCCGATGAATGCCATTATCATGTACTAATCCACTTCATTATTGTTGCAAAGTTCTTTATCCGAGTCCAAAGGGGAAATTTCAGGGACGGAGAAGCCGATGAAGGTTGAGACTCAAGTGATAACACCGGATAATGCCAAAATTCGCGCAGTCCACCCTAGTCACCTTGTGTTGTGCCATCCTAGCTGCACTTTGAGCCAGCGTAAAGCCGGCTCCTTTTGTGTTCTCCGTAATACTACCTATAGTATTATCTCTCAATATACACCATATGCCACGGAGCCGTGTCTTACAGAATCTATCGGCAGTCATGGAGTATCTCTCATCCCCGTAATCCAAAAGACGCCCAGTAAACGGCGTACATTGAAGTTCAACTTCAGGTAACTCCAAGCAGATGGCAGCACTCATTGCTCGATAATGAGGCAGAGCTATTGAGTCTCGAGAGTAACTGAGGCCAGGAACAAGTCGCCTGAGATCTGTATAGCCTACCAAGCCGTTATCCCATATTAGGACTAAGTGTCCTTCGCCTAGCAAGGTGCACCTATGTTACCTCTTGCTGCCCATAACCGTTATATACGATCAACTGAATACAGAGTTCCATGCTGACAACCATGCTATCTCCGTAATGTAACCTCTCGGCCTTCCTTGGGCTTCCATAACGAAGCATTCCAGCCCGCGGCCGTGGGTTATTAGCGAGATATCCATGTTTATCTTACGGTCTGGCAGAGTTAGATTAATTGTCGCGGGACATATTTCCAAGCGGATGGCGGAGCTCGGCAAAGACTAGAGAGAATCCCTGCAAGTGTAATAACAATAGAGCAACAAGAGGAATTGTGGAAATGTCCCGTGTAATGGATTCTAATTTTTCGTCTCTTCGCTTGAGATACTAAGTCACTTAGACTAGTGACAGAGGAGATAGGGCTAGAAGGTGAGACTTATATAAGACGGCCCAAAGCGCCCTCGATTCAGTTCTATTCTCATCCCATCCAACACAGTTCTCCTTACCTCAAAAGTTCTATTCCATTCATCACGATGAAAGTTTTTTACTATCTCCCTCCCAATCCTTGCCACATTGGCATCAGCCTTCATCCCCGCGGATCCCGAAGACAGCGTGGAGACCGGCACCCCTACTCCTTTCAGCCAAAATCTCATGGCTGGTCCTTCGTTCAGCTGCAAAAGGCTCTTTCCAATGTGGCAGTTGGCCAGGAATGGTTGGATATTGCCAAAAGGCTATTGATACCATGCTTCCCGGTCTAGTCGTTGATACCAAGACCAGATCTATTCTTCACCTGAAATAGTTCCATACCAACCTAACATGTTTTAGCAGTGGTCGGACGGGTAACTGCTGGGGTGCGCCTTCCGGCTTTGGATGTGATGTCTTCGTTGCAGGGCCTCGAGGGTGCTCTAGAACCACGGAGCAGATGAAAGCAGCATTCAACAACATTAGGGCCCATGACTGTAAGATATGCGGTCTTGTTACGAACGATGATAACGGCGGCGACTCCTGTCAGATCAAGATTGATTACGTCTCTGGATGTGACAATCATAATTAAAGATGTGCAATTCCTCATATCATGTGGAAGTTTGGGACTTTGTTTAGGAGCCATGTCAAAGGCGGAAGTCAAGCACTGGATGTTTTATTATATGCCTGCTAGTCTAGGTAGATGTTGGGCAGACGGGGATAGGAGTGAGCAGCGGCGTACACGGAATATTACAGGGATACAACCTCATCTGTATTATGCAGGTAGAATAAACATGGACTCCTGTTTGAGTTGTCAATGAGAGACACGGACCTGATACTTCTTACCATACAAGGTTGCCTCTTCCTAAGTCATACAGGGTGCGGAACAATATTGTGTATAAAGCTACCGCAAAGTACTATACCTCAATTAACTACCTATTATCATTCTCCGGGTTTAACTCTAATTTGTCGTCCCTAGCTGCTCACAAATCTAGCAGAAAGCCTGTATGTAGTGCTAAGGTATCCCTAGATAAGTCAGTAATGTGGATCTCATAAGATAGTGCTCATTGCAATGGTGGTCTGTCCAGTTAGTTCATTTCTGAGGAAATAACTGCTCTTCCATACGGGAGCTAGTACTACTGGAACGTCGGCGAAGCAATATAAAAATTTTGCACTGGTTACTAATTTGTGATGGCAACAGGCTATTACCACACTACCGCACTCAGAGACTAAGCCTCTGGAATCCCGCACCGTAATGCTTGGCTCTCATGGCTGAACCAGGAAGCTATGTTTCTGAGGCGTACTTACTCTGGCCCATCTTTGTAAGTGTATTGCTAGCACCGCTAATTCGTACGGCGGATATACCAAGTAGCTTTCGCCATAACCCTCGTGAGGTTTCATCAGTTTGACCTGCCCTCCTCAAAGTTTACATGAGGCGTTGCGTCCTTTAGAATGAAAGACGAATGTCAATGCCACTACGAGGAGATGAGAAACACCCGTCTCTTACGCTCCATCTTATTTGGGCTCTTTTCGAATTATTGACTTCCGCGGGTGCTAACCCGTGATATATAGGCCTGCGATGGGAATCACACCCATATACGCAGGAGAGTATGTATAGTAACCGCCTGCTACCGGACAAGCACAGTAAGCTAGGTTAGTGGCGTCCAGTCTGTGTTTAAGTGGTGGTCTGTGAAAGAAGTTAGGACCGCCCTCGTTCAGAATCCTATAAGGCCTGCAGTGCTTGCATTGTCCTCCAGATCCTTTTATCGTGCTATTGTGCATTTAGGCTTGTTTTGAAAGTCCTTATCGTCTTGTATTGGGCTCTTCCTTATGCATCATTGTGGGTATTGAGTGCGGATTCTGAAGACTATATCGTCTCTGGCACCAGAGTGACAACACTTACCACTACGGAAACACCATTTGATGGGTGAATAAAAGTATGCGCAAGCACTCGATGAGCAAGGCGATACTGGCGCACATCGGTGCAGAAGCAATTGAGCAGCTATTACTTGACATTGACGCGCGTAATCCCTCATTCAGCTGGGTGGCTTGAGCCGATCAAAAGCACTAACTACATTAATATTATGCTAACTACATATTATATACTAAGTCATAGTCAATGTAACCATAATCAAATGGTTCGCCGTCTTGTGACTATAGTGCAGTACTAAGTGGGGTGATCCACAATGCCCTTGTGCACTAACTAGATAATGTTTACGGCGGACTATTGCGGCTAGACTGGTGTTTGGCCAGGTTAGGTTAAATTAGTGAGATCAGCTGTACCTAATCGAACCGCTGGTTAATCTAGTTCTGTCTGAGGTGATCAACTAAGTCTATATAGACAAGCGGTAGACTAGGATTATTATAAATATTACTGACAGAAAATAGCCTTATCAGACAGAACTAGATTAACCGCGGTTAACCTAGCTTTAACCTTAACCTAACCAGGGTCGGTTAGGTTATGGCTAGGTTACAACGGTTAGGCTATGCCACTCTACTAAGTCCATTTACCGCCTAGTAATATAATGTATCGCTATCTTTTTAAATATTAGATTATTGTATAAAAGGGCTCGAAAAATAGATATTTTATATATTTCCTTATGTTAATTACAGTATTAAGTACTGTTTCTAGTAAAATATAGGTAGAAATACTAAATATAAGAATATAAATGTAATACCAAATTACCAATGTACAGTATATATAGCCTACTCTAAAATAGTTCCCACTATCTTACCGCCTTTTTACTAAGCTCAATTTAGGGGCCACGGTATATAGGCTTTAGGGGCTGTAGTGTCTAAATTTAGAGGCCACGGTATATAGATTCTAGAAGCTGTAGTGCCTAGATTTAGGGGCCACGGTATGTAGACTTTAGGGGCTATGGTGCCTAGATTTGGGGACTACTGTATCTAAACTTAATTCTAATTCTATATCTAGCAATACAACCTATGACACATAAGATATACAGCGATTTCTCAGTAATATTTATATTTAAAAGCGAGATTTTATAGA